TTTATTCCGTTCATACGACGTTACATATAGTATTGGTTAATCCAGGGATTCCCAAACATTTTCAGTTTGCGGCGCACTTACATTACACTTACGTTTAGTATTTTGTCTCTGACCGGCACCCTAGCTAGTCGAAATAGGCAGGCACAAAAATTAAAACATACACACACACACACACACAAGAATACATTTATTATTTAAGAAAAATAGGAAATAAAATACAATGGCAATTTAGTCTTATGTGACGTGTGAGCTTGGTGATCTCTACACATTTTTACAAAGTGTGGGATAAGACTAGACACCGCTACTCTCATTTCTTGCTCCTCATTAATCTTTGGACGATATTTGCGCTTTATTACAGCTACAACTGAAAATTCGGTTTATTTTGTACCCGCGAATACATAAGTTTAGTATCCGGAGAATGGTAAACTGGAGCGGTTGACGGCGCCACCCTTTATTCTTTACGGCGCACACTTTGGGAACCCTTCCATTAATCCATTCATGATCGCCATCTGGTGTACGTCTTTAAAGTTGCAAAACAGAAAATTCATATATTTACTCGACGGTAGTCATTGTGTTGTAATAAATAATATTATTTGAAGCATGAAATCACAGCTTCATTATTTTGAATGAATTGAATTACAATTAGCGGGCTAAAAGAATCATCTACCCCACGGGTATCGTAAGAGACGACAGAGCGAAACTGAAACAGGAGATGGGCAGCGGCATCTTTCAGATAACAATTTAAAATAATAAAAAAACAGCGGTTAGCAACTCGCCTGGTAGGCGCGGTAGCTAGGGCAGCTATCTGGGTTCTATATGGGATTCAGCAGTAGGCTTTAATAGGCTTTCATGAATGAATCAATGAATGAATGATGATGATAATGAATAAACTAAATTTCCGGAAAAGAAATTTATATTTGTGAATAAAATGAGAAAATGTTATTTGTTAAACATAGCAGATAAAAGTGTGCTACGAGTATAATAGGCTCTTTTTCACGACTGTGCGTTCAAGGAGCGTTTCAAATCTCGATACGGCTTTGTATTTAGGTTTTAAAAAAGATTCTACTTTTTAGTATAATTCTGACAAAGGTATACCGCAAATTTTTCAGGTTTCATGTCTTTTTTTTATATTATCGCTTCGATCATATTGTAGGACAAAGTATATGCATGCATGCATGATTTCTTTTTTATCGAAAATATCATTTTATGGATATCACTGAATGAAATCATGCAAGTTAGTACTAAAATGAAGTATTAAAATGAAGGTGCCTAAGAGTTCTTATGTTTATTTGTTAGTAAATATATTTAAGATTTTTTGTAACTACCAGGGCGGCATAATCGCATCAGCGACAAAGCCCTTTATATATGAATAAAAAAAAAGAGTTCTCATAACTAATAAAGGTTTCTAGTGTGAGAACTGCTAAATACAACCCGTGTTTTTGAAAGTTTTCAATCACTAACTCGAAACCATCTTCCTTAGTTTGAGTTTTCAAATTTGTAACACGTGTATTACGCTCGATCAAACAGCACTATGCTATGGTTGACAATATCACTAGCTGAGCGTGACAAGTGTTCGGTGGATAGGGGTTAGAGCGGCTCGCACACGTGAGACAATCGTCACGCAACGACACAAAAAGACAGAAATATAAAAATCGGCTCCCCCGAACAACTTTCAACCTAACCGATTATCGGAGAAAGATTAAACGTCCGGCAAGATATTACACGCACAACGGACACGGCCTATCACCGACTGACAGCCGGCTCAGGTTATTATCGTGTGCAATCTATGAAATTGACGTTCGTGGCACGGACTCCGGCGCGTCGGGGTCGATGGTCAAAAAGTTGGTGAGAAAGTAGGTCGGCGATAATCGATCTTGAGTCTATATGGAAATTGGACCTGTATGCAGGTTTATCTGACGTCTGCATTGAACTTAAGGCCTATTGTATTACGGCCTATTATTAAATAATAATATTTGTAAGATTTTGATATTGACATTATTTTAATGCTTAAACTCCAATTACCACATCAGCGATAATTTTGTATCATGTCATAATTTATGCGTCCTTCAAGCCAAAATCCCCCCCATCGATATCCTAAATTTTAATATGCCAAGATTTAATGAGAAATCGGTGACAATTACTGACTTAAGAAAAAAATGTTAATTTATTACTTTAGGACTTGTATAAAAGATAGACCTTTTCTTGTGAAGATTCTAGCGTGAATTTATGCTAGCAGCCTCCGCTCGCAAAATACTATTGTATTGACTGGGTCAGAGATGTAAATCCCATTTTAAGATGTTTGACAAACTCGATTTAAATTTTTTTACGTCAAAAAATCAAAAGCCTTTATTACTTTTCTATTACTGTAAAGCCCACCAAAAATATTTCTTCCCTCCCCTCAAAACCGGAGATAAAAAAAATTATACGCTACATGACACCTGTTATCGATCTGCTGCAGTAGGCTTGTTAATTTTTTACGGTCGCAGATGGGAAACCATCCACGTGTGCTTCCGCTAACATCCCCAAAGCACTAGAACGCCACGAGAGCCCCAACACCATCTGTATGTTTAATGGCAAAGTTTAAATATAGCATACAACAGTATATTTAATAGTCAAGTTTAAATTGTAGCAATAAAAATGAACAAGTATGTCACTATTTATGCGCTCTCACCAATAGTTTTATAGGTACGTTTTACGATCGTATTAGAAATAAACGTTTAGTTATATGTACAGTGTTAACTGTTAACCTAGATCTAAGTATATTTCCACAATTGCCACTAATTCATGTTTTATGTATTAAGAGCCTATGCCTTTAAGGCCGCGAGGCTGTGACCTAATAACTTGTCTCAGAGATGAGCTTTTTACCTTGAACTTTTCGTCGAAAGCAGATTAAAAGAGAATGAAAATGTTGGCAAAAGATTTCACTGGAAGCTTTTCCATTTTATATGGTTAAATTAAATTTCTTATACACAATGTCGCTCGTATGTATATGACATAATAGTCTATTTTGTTGTTCAATTTTCTTTGAGTTTTTGATAATAAATACACACCACTTCATTTAAGTGAAGTTTCTGAATGGGTTTCAAAAATAATTATAAAAAATTATATAAATGAAATTTCAACAATGACGTTAAATAGTTATTGTATTTGATATTGTATCGTATAAAGTTCCGTATTAACCGTATTGGTGAAATTTTACTTAAATATTGATTACGAAATTATAGCAGTAAGTGGGGGTGCAGCTATTAAGTGGTGCAAGTTTTAACTTTCAGTATTTTAATCAAATGTAAACTACATAATCTGCACTGGTATACCCTGCTGATTGCCGGAAGATGCTGTGGCGAATAGCTTATAGCGGAAAATCCATACATAGACGCTGAACACAAATTTCACATATTGGTAGCGTTTTCGCGTAGTTGCCTTGCCAAGGGCAAGCCTGTTAAAATCTCTTATTTTAACTTAGATGAACTAACATAACAAATTTATAGCATTAATTATAGCCAACCGTCGTTAGACGCAACTTCATCTTCTTACCTTAGCAATAGGGTTCAGAACATCCGGTTTAATGGTGTAAGTTTTGTAGGTGTGCCATGGAGCTCCCATCTTGGCCCGCTCTTATTTCTTAGCTACATCAATTATTTACCTTAATTAGTTTCTTCCCGTCTTTTCGAGTCCTTTCTACTGAACTATTTATTATGCTTATTCATACGATCGAGTACTACATGGCAGCTACATGCGTCATACTTGTGAACAAGTGCTGCTTTTGTGGGCCGGTCTGCTCTGTGGAGTACTCGTGCAAATATTTTGCGTAGTTGACTAGTTGAGTGCATAAATCGTCCCAACTTCGCCTTGACTTTACTTTGTATTTGATGATTTTATATGTCTATTTCTGTTATTGAAGATGTCTTCCCAAAGAATGTAACCCAAAACGAATGTAACAATAAACGTTTTTATATTTCGTTTATCACAATAAATTAATTAACTACAAGTACACCTTATTTGTACTTGTGAAAATGGACTTTTGTATATTTTTTGTTACTTAATTAAATACCGAAATCGCCTTATTTAACAATGTAAATTCCGAAAACTATTTTTGTACTAAGTTTTTTTTTTAATTTATTTATCATTTACACGTTGAATACAAAATCAAAAAAATAAATTATCACGATACATCTCATACTAGAATGAATTGAGTAATTTTTTATTCAATATCGATTACAAATAATTCTTATTTGAAGTCATTTTTACTTTTACTTGTGAAGTTTTTGTATGTAAACTGCCATCACAATAAACTGGAAAATCCTAGTTTGTGGGTAATACTTTAAAATAGTGACTTAGTTCTCATGTATGTAATTACTAAAATTTTTATTGTTTTAAGACCAAATGTGCTAAATCACAAGTAGAACTTGTCATTTAGAGAGACTTAATGCGCATGAATTAAGTCACAGGTTCTAACGTTAACTCTTAAAGTATCTTTACTTTATCCGATTGACAGCAAGTCAATATAAAATTTTCTATCATAGTAGAGGAATTAAATTTTCTATCATAGGAGGTGAATGGCATAGTCGGGAAGGGTCGCCCTAGGCGAAAGTTTATCGACCAAATTGGCGATATTTTAAAAATGGGCCAAATCAAGAGTACCTTTAACCGACGAGCGTGTATGCGTAGGTATATGGATATGGAGGAAGCGAGAGAGATGTGTCAGGATCGTGCCAAATGGAAGTCCATAATCTCTGCCTACCCCTCTGGGTGACAGGCGTGAGTGTTTATGTTATGTTAGAGGAATTAGCCGATCAGCTGTGACGAAAACAAGTACGTCGCTCGAAAAGGCCTTCTTTCCTTGCTCCCCAAGTACTTACTGAAATATAAATAGATACAACCTAAGTCAGGTCATAATAAATACAATCTCCGAGATAAACAACCCTCTTGTACATATAATATGTAGATTTTAATAATATTAGTATGGCCACGTTTAATAAAACTCTTTTAATTTGTTTCAGATGAAGACGAGCAAACAAAGAGGCTGCCCCCTCAGCCTCCCATAAAGACAATGACCTATACGGTAAGTTACGGTTATTTATAAATCCGTTTTTATGATGTTATGTCGATAGTTTCACTTTGTATTTATAAAAAGTGAAACTATCGACATAGAATAGAAAGATAAATGCATGAGTATATTTTTGAAATATAATAATTTATTAAAATCTATAAAACATTTATTTACTTAAGATATAAATATACCTTATTTATAATAATATAAACAATAATTCTACACTACGAACTCGTTCTGAAATACGGTCTTGTGGATCGGAGACTGCCCTGTTATGAGTACTTACCGGAATCCTTACTCGAAAATTACCGCGTCAGGCTCTACTGAGACCAGTCTACTGGGTAGTTCTTCTTACGAATAAGCCTGACATTTTGTTGATGTACCAGACATAGTCAAGGATATTTGTGGTCGACATTACCATTCCGCATGACGAGAACCTCGTGATAGCCGAAACAGAATCGAAAATATCTGAACGTGGCTCACGAGATGACCGACATGTGAAGTGATTTTCCTATCGAAATTATTCTTGTGGTCGTTTCTGCGAACAAGCTAATCCCGGATCATTCGAGGCGACTGGAACTGGTGTTCCTCGATATCATGCGCCGGTTTGTTTTCTTTTATCCTTAACACTCGGCCGTTAAGTCTCCCCAGCCAAGAGCTTTCATCTGGTTGTTTTTTTTTATTTCTCTTCTCTTTTCTTTTTAAACACTTTACCCCCACACTAGGATTTTCTCCTGTATCATGGAGGCAGTTTATAAAAACAAATTGCACAAGGACAAACATCCAGGACTCTGAACAATTATTTGTAGGCCATACAAATTGGTACTTGTTCCATACGGGATTCGAACCCGCGCCCCCCAGCGCAGCAACTCATTGCTAAGATGCTAAGGCACTGCGCAACGGAGCCGTTTTTTTAATTTATCTTACTATTTTAATGTATGGTATTTTATTCGATTTATATTTTATTTTATATTATTTATAATTATTATGTACATTTAAGCTAAAATTAAAATCATACAGTCCTACTACCCGGGACATAATTCTATGAACGCTGGCTGGGTATTTTCTTGCTAGATTACAAAAGGAAAAACGAGTATAACAATATTAAGAAGTTATAATTAAACTAATAATAAGAACTAATAATTATTAATACACATTATATAAGTTTTACTAATATTAATATAATTGTTTATTATTAAAATTGCAATGGATTAAGAAATACAAAAATTTTGCAATATTCTCATCTCAAGAGTACCCAGTCCACGCACCAAGTCCAGTCCAGAACACCAAGTCAGTTAAAAGTTCTATACCCAAAATGCTCATGGAGATGGGCGTTGTGTTATATAGTGATACAGCGACCCTGAAATCCATTAACATTGGCAATTGGCGCATAGCTACGAACTGAAATCGAATCATAATAAACAACGATTGCGTACATGTGTAATTTGATTAAATTATAAAAGCCGTAAGTGCTATACGTTACAACAACAACGAAGGGCTATTATAAGAGTTCCCTGGAAGCCTAACGTGTGCGTTTGTTTTTGTTAACTTGCCCGCTGTTAAAAGAGATTTTTTGTATTAATATTAATGAAATATTTATTTTTTGAAGTATCGCGATCGCTTACTAAAAGTTTCTTTTTCCTTCCCCGTCAAATTTTGTTCTGTTTATATTTCATTTTCTATTATTCTTTTTACATCGACTTCAATCTCACTTATATATTCTAATACATTGCCCTTTAAAATTTATGCCGTGTCACGTCTGTAGTGATCCCACAACATTACAAAGTACGTGATGTTAAGTTTTATACGCGGATAAAAAGATGCAACTAGATGCAATGTCATTAAAAATGTTATTAACTGGATTGAAAACATTTTAATTTGTTTATTATTGGTATCTTTTAGCGATTTTTATAATACAACGATTATTGGCGATAGCACGTTATTAGGTCTTTACTCTAGTACTTAAGCAATTTCCGTTTTGTTGAACTGGCCACTTTCAGGCGGGCTTGATATCGATAATATTTCCCTCACAACATCTTTATTATTATCGATTTAACCAAACTCCTAACTAACGATATTAGAATATAACAAAACACCAATTATCAACGACAAACAAAACCAAAACATTTATTCATTTAATCTTTATTGCACTTTAATAAATATGATAGTACATGTTTCGTTTGTCCATAATAAATATGGAAGTACATGTTTCGTTTGTCCATGGCATTATAGTTAAACACCAGCATTAATGCTGTTAATAATAAGAAAACGGTTTCTACCACCGTTTCATTTATTTATTCACCTGATTCTACTTCTTGATTAATTTCTGGTTCTGGAGTGGACTTGTGTGTATTCATTGTGTTGTCTGAAATAATCAATGTGGGAGTTACATTATGAAGAAATGCAAGTTGTGGAACTATTTAAATTTTACGAACAGTTAGCCTGTACAGTGAATTACGCAAATACATCATGTTCTCAGATATCTATATCTGAGCCATTTACTCAGTTCAGCAATCTCTGATGGCGTCCTATCTCTAATTGAGGTACTCTTGAAATTTGAAATGGGGAGGCCGTCAAGATTCGTACATAGCGTCGCACCAGGTCTCTTGTCGTCTCCAGATATTCCACAATGTTCAACCCCCCCCCCCCCTCCCCCTCCCCTTCCCATAATAGAGTGAACTTCCTCTATCTACCATCGCCCCATCCAACACAACCACAAAACAAACGCTGCGAAATAAATACTGCCGTCAATAAAATGATACGTGATTCACATCAAAAAGAGACGTCACAACGATCGTCAATCGTCATATTATGTTGCAAGTTTATGATAAAATCAGGTTTTTGATCAAAAGTGTAGACAAAAGAACCGGAAGAAAACAAAGTTATTACTTAATCATATTATGAACGTAAAAAGCCTTGATTTTTATCAAAAAAATTAACTTGTTCAGATTTATGATAAAATTTAAGCTTAGGTTAGGTTGGTTTTCATAAAACTCAATCAGTCTAAGTTTTTGATCAAAAAACTGGACTTTATCAGATTTATGATAACATAAATAGTAATTTTGTCTTCTTCCGGTTATTATTCAAAAGGATTGGTTTAAACGTGCGACATATATGCGTACATAACATTATGGTACATATTTGAAATTTTGAATATATCTAACATGTGCAGGTTCGTGACCGTGACACGCTAACGTCGGTGGCGGCACACTTCGACACCACGCCTTCGGAGCTAACCAAACTGAACCGGCTCGCGACCCAGTTCGTCTTCCCCGGGCAGACGCTGCTTGTGCCCGACAAGAGGAAAGGTCAGTTCAGTGCGCTACACTATATTGTGCCAATGAACTCCACATAATAGTAACCTCTATTGTGACTCAAAACAAATGACAGTGAACTGTTATTCGGAAGAACAAGTATTTCGTGTATTTTTAAGTGATACGTAGGACACTCAATAAGTTTTGATATTCAAAAAGTATTATATAACATTTGCGCGATATGATATATTATGATACATGATTTATCATAGCGCGCAAATGATCGCGCGTTAAACCTTTCCGGAAAATTAATAGTTAATTTTTAGAAACATATAACACGGGTGCGTTCCATTTTTAAATTTCGAGCATCTCAAAACTTATGGAGTGATTTGTTTGTAATCGCGTTCTCGAAAACGGCTATAACGATTTTGATGAAATTTACAATATCGGGGTTTACGGGGGCGAAAACTCGATATAGATGGGTCTGATTTCTCGGTAAATTTGATTTATCCATGTTTTCACGCACGAAATAACAAACTTGCCGCGCAATATTATTGATAATTCAGCCATATATCATGTTCTCAATAGCCCAATGATTAGAGCGTAAGGTCTACCACGCTGGAATGCGTGAGTTTAAATCCTGCAACGTGGTTAGATTTTTTATTTTTTGTTCTTTAGTATTCTAGCCCACACGGCCTCACATCTAGGCAAAAATAATTTAATATTAGACTAATAAAATGTTGTGTTTACCAATTTACGCTTACGTTACGTACCTTTCAAGCTGTAGGCCAAAGCATTGATTGAAAAATGTTTGATTACAGTATTTTCAAAGAAATTAATTGTTTCATATATACTAGCAGTCGAGGTTGTTTCTCTGAGGGTTTCGCCATTATTCATTCAAGTTCTCTATAATGGACATATTATGCTATTATTGATACTGCGGAGTTTAAAAACTTATAGCGAATTACACCATAAACTTGAACATGACTATCAAACAGAATCGTTTTAGGGCATTGTTCCAGTTTTTGAGCTGGGTTCACAATTCTATCCAAAATTCCTTGTACTGGCTACTCAAAGTACTAATCAAAGCAATGCAAACTTCAACGCGTGCTCCTCTATGCACATCAATTAATCCATTTCTCGAATTTATTTTGTTTTTCCAATTTATTGCATACTAGCTGTTTTCCGCGACTTCGCCCGCGTTTAATTTAGTGATTTAATTATGTTGCGCGGAATCCTAATTATTTTTCTAAAATATATGTAGCCTAAGTTACTCCTTATAACATCAGCTATTTGCCAGTGAAAGTCCCGTCGAAATCGGTCTAGCCGTTTCGGAGATTAGCCGGAACAAACAGACAGACAAAATTTTAAAATTGTGTTTTTGTTATAAGTACCGTATATTCTTTCATACACATTTAGTAAAAAGCTGGTACTTTAACATTACAGACATTTCAATTTTATTTATTTATATAGATTAGTCAATATTGTGGGTAAACTAACGTTAATGACGTTAATTTCTTGGTTGTTTGGTATGGATCGGTTTCCACCTTAACTATTAATTTATCGTTATACATATGTGAAATATTATGGTATTTTAAATATGTAAGCAACGTACAAAATGTTAACAGTGTGGTGCCGACGCAAACTTCTTCCCTATTTCTTCTCCGCGAACACTTCTGCGACTAGTAAATAATTCTTTGTTATTTTCTTGTTATTTTCATCTATATGTATGTATGTATATATATAAATATATATATATATATATATATATATATATATATATATATATATATATATATATATATATATATATATATATATATATATATAGTTATGATGATAGCTTTTCACAATTCCACTAACATAGGGATCGGCCACAAAACACGGTCTTGAACTTAACTTCCTGCATATCTTACCAAATCGTCACATCGTCTAGTGACCGTTCTATTCTTCTCTTACCGATACGAGGCTTCTACTCAAGAACCTTTCTTTCCCATCGGTTATCGCTTCTTAAAGATATTTTTGCTTCGTAAGGACGGCACATTTCTGTTATTGGTTATGTCAGTTACTCTAATTTTACTGCGGATAGCCTCATTTTATCACGCAGAGAATCTTCGAGCCTTAAATAATCCTCCATTAAGGTCTTAAATAATTACTTACCAGTTACGTTACCAGTGCAAGTAGATTGACAATTGTAGTAATGTCTTATACATTGCCACATCGCTTCCTGTAGCCGTTTTACAACTAGAAGCATGCTGGATAAGACGTTTTCTACCGTGAGATTATAACATTTTCATTTCATTTAGACAAAATAGGACAGTATAGAGCGACGAATTCTGTTACTAGAGGAGTAACCACATAGCCAACAATAATTATAACTTTTAACAAAAAGTAAAAACCAACATCAAATTGCTAAAAAAGAAGTTATTTATTTGCTACCCATAGGGGTAAAAATTTTTGTCCAGGGTGGTCCAAGTGTAATCTATTTAATAAAAAAAGAATCATCAAAATTGGCTTACAGTTTGAGAACCCCTCCTTTTTGAAATCTGTTAATAATAAGAACAACACCAGAATAAAACAAGCAAATTAGTTGTTAATAATTAATTAATCCACGTAATAAAATAAAATAATGTGTCTTACCTAGTTTAAAGAGCACCTTCCGTCCTGCCACAATCGCGTGCACTATCCCCTATCCCCGTAACAAAAAATGTAGTAGATAATGAATAGTATCATGGATTTCTTACAAAGTTTTATTTTGTGTACCTACTGTTCTCAAGTTGCCTAGATATCATAACTTCAAATCGAAATCGATTAATCTTAATGTACTCGTTTATAAACCTACACTCGGTCAAGATGCTAATAGCATAGATGACGTGAAATAAAAAAATACCAAATATACTGAAACAATACAGCAAACTAAAATACCAGTGGAGGTGGTAAAATGGTACTAATAATTTATCTCATTGTAGCAATTACATCAATTAAGTATAACCTACACGTTGCGTACAATGTTGACAACGTCCCACAGGAGCTATACCTACATCAAATCGTGCAGTATAAATTTCATAATGTTTATTTTGTTTGATGAAAATATTAATTATCTGCTTAAATATTTATGTTAGAAGTAGATACAAATATAAATAATATTCCTACTCTATATAAATAAATTAAAAAAGGAAAGTAACAGCCTACACATTACTAAAAAAGTTTTCCCAATCCGATTGTCGACTGTTGCTGTACTGACTACTGACTAGTCTTCTCAAGTGTTCAGTAACGTAATTAAGGGGCGGGAGGGGCATGGCCCCGGGTGGCAGATTGTGTAATTGGTTGATTCGCAAGAATTATACTCGCACGAAATAAGCAAATCTACCTACCTACACCTTTGAATATTAATATTTTTATAATAGTAAATACGCACGACGATTTTTATCATAAAATATTGTATAATAGTCGGAATCCTTTTGAAACACTTGAAAACATCATTATATTGGGTTTAGGTTTTATTCATTTATTTTTACAGCCATTGAACTTACTTTTTCTCAAATCAGCCATAAAACATTATAATGTTATATATAATAAACATTATAATGTCTGACGTCTAGACAAATCGATTTCTTAACTAAAAGAAATTTAAGAATGATAAAGGCCGCATATTGTACTAACTAACCCTATGCGTTGTTCATTGTATTGTTTTTTTTTATGTATGTAGTCTTTTATTATACGAAAAAGTAAGTTCAATATATAAAGGAAAAACGACGCTTTCACAGAATACGAGCGTTTACTATTAATATAGCGCCTTTTTTTTGTGTAGTTAATGACGAGAACCGGAGACCCTTTTGATTGATAACAAATTATTCTATCTTAATATTTACGAATGAGAACGCATCTGCATTTTGATTCTTATTCGAGGACGGATGTAGTTTATATGGGCCTCAGCATCCACTTACAGATGGATTGTGTGTACGTTTCGTCTTTCGTAAGTCCGCTTTTACTTTTATAAACAAGATATTTTTTTATAAATTTGATAATATAAAAAATATGTAATCGCTATTAACTATTACTGAGACATATGATCTGTATTGTTTAAACGTTCGGCTTCGTCTAGTATTCCAACTGAGGTGATATGTTCGACTTGATATGTTCCTGGCTTTAGACCTGGCCCTAAATAATATTATATATTAGCAGAAAGATCACATGGCCTTCGATAGATGATATTCATGTCTTCAATGCAAGAAGTAAACTACCCAGAGCCCAGACCATTGATTTACAAGAAGCAGCAACAAAAATGGTCCGATAGCTGATACGATTGCCAATGGTGGTGACTATAGACAGTCATCCTAAATGTGCGATAGGCCCATGTCCAGTAGTGCAGGGTACCCTTGATGTGTTGGGGTTACCACGTTTCTCTGTAACAATTCACTACTCGTCTGGTAATGAATAGTTTTGGGACTTGTACATTAAATTAAGGTCTATCATATTTTATTTTTACACGTTAAGCATTGGCTCAAATTCCAAGATGTCAAACAATAGAATATTTTAAATATCTCTTCTACATTATCAGTCCCTAATAATACACAATACACTACTAAACATGGGATTTATGGAATTTAGAAGAAATGCCTTAATCGCCACCCTTGGTACTAGATTGACGCTCGTAGTACTAAATGTACTGCTCCTTGGGGAGCCTTAAAATGGGGAGTTGTAAAATGTCTAGACCGATGATGGCACATCTGACTTATTTATACTAAGTGCTATACCGCCATCTGTTCGAGACCAAGATGTCTTTCTGGCTTTTCACTTTTTTATAGTATAAAGGTGACAATGGAGCACGTAGTCCAGTTGGTGGTTTTTACAGTTAACGCCTCGTTAAGTGTAAAAAGGGTCTCCGGTTCTCTACACACTCACTATACGAAATACAGCAACATTATCGAATTGTTTGACGCTAGTACTCCATGAGAGCGTTGTTCTAACCCTGATCCATATCTGCAGCGTGGCTCCGCCACGTCAAATGCAACTCCTCTTTAAACATTCACGGGACGAAATGTTTTTAACAATGTTTAACTTGTATTATTGAAAATCTATATAAATTGAGATAAAGAGACTGCTTTTGGTGTGACGGATCGAACGAGTAAGAAATTATTACTTGGCTTGCGAAAGTCGGCCTTCGATTTAAACGCTGAGAAGCTGTATCGCAGTCGATAAAATTTTACTACAAATAAATCGATACAACGTGGTTTTAGTCCGCAATTTTCCATGTGGTAACATTTAAAGCAGATGACTTGGAGATAAAAACAGATATGATGTAGGTTAATAAATAATGTGTTGTGATAACGCATAGCCTACATACCTACGAGTAATTGAAATATACATTAGTAATGCTTTCTTTTTGTTCTGATTTTTAGTTTATTAGAAAACATATACCTAGCATTAATTCTTATAGTATGTCTATTTAAAACATATGATATTTATTATTAACTAAATAAATAGCTTTTATTTTGTATATAATTCTATTTTTTACATTATAAATTTTTCTTAAACCGTCGCAAACTCGAAAGATTAATTTCAAAATAATTCTGATTATAAAAGGAGAGAAAAGAAAATACAATGAACCTATTTGATAACAGTAGACAATCTGTTTAGTGCGGGCATGAAGGAAAACAATAACATTCAGCCTTGTTGTTATTCACGTGTGACGTAGTCTTGAAACAATTTGTTTTTTACTATTTACGCGGCAAACAAAAGTTACAAAAGCAGTTGAAACGGGCAACGGGCAAATGCGGTCGCGACACCCGTCGTCGCGCACTGTACCCAGTTTCTATTTTAAATTGCCTGAAACGTCAGTTTGTCCCACATTTATTATTGCGTTCTAATAGAAACAATTTTGACAGTAGCGTGGTTTTGACGTAATTGTGCCACTATGGATGAGTTTTATCGTCCGAGATAAACGTACGATGTGAGGGACGCTTCGTATTATCTGTTCAAGAATGTTTAGTTTTGAATTCCTCAAGCGTTGGTATCATGGTATATTGCGAATATAGCGCGTTTTAGCTACAGTATTTATTAATAATATTTGTGTTAAATGTGACAACGTTTTATTTATAATTTTAGATGGCGATAAGGATTCAGATGGTCCTTCGGAAAGTGGTGATAACACCTCTGAGTCTACACAAGGCGCACCCAGCGAACCCGCACAGGAAAAAGGTAATCTTAAACTTACGCATTAAGTTCTTAGGCCGTAATATCCAATTTTATTGGACATTTCAAGAAAAATGTTAATAAATTATGGTTTTAAATGTTTAATTAGGGTTTCAGCAGTGCTATCTAGTGATTGTATTGCAAATATTAAACTTGTAATTGGTTAATTTAAAAAAAAAAACTGTCTTGCAATGTGTACGTAACTCGAATTAATTATGACGTTGAATTCTGCACTTTATTACCGCGCGTTATCGCAACTTGTTACGAAAACTTCGTTATCACCTGCTCGTTTAACGGGTAATGCACGATGCCCACTTCACTTAAACAGTAAACATTTTAATACGCTATATAATCGAAGCTATCTAAAACTCTAATCTATACATTTTTTATACAAATAAGGATTAAAAACGAGCAGACAGTCAAACTGATGGTTATCGTTACCGTTACAGCCTATTAAAGTCCACGGATATTTGCCATATTAGCCACGCTTGGCAAGCTGGTTGACAACCGCAGTTTTATATTTTTAGTCGTTATTTCAAAGACGCTGCTGCCCATCTCCTGATTTGTTTCCCTCTGTCGTCTCTTACCATATATATATAACCTTAGCGCAAGTGCAAGCAATAAGTCGACAAAGTTTTACCGCAATCTGATGAACGGTATGGCAGCGCATAAAATACGAATAAACAAACATAAGTTGTTATACATTCGATAATGTATTTTATAATATTATCTATACAAAATATTAATGCCTCGTTCCAGAGATCCTAGACAGCCTGCGACCGGTCTCGCCTGAGGCACCCGCAAGCAGCAATGCCCCGCAACGCTTCCTCAAGATAAATGTGCGTCACATTACCGACGGACAGGTACACAATATTTCTAACCAATTAATGATACGTAAAACTTATAAATAGATAAGTATGAAAGAATTTTAATCCAATAAACCACATTAACAACTCCTGGGTAATATATAAATATAAGAAAATAAAGATAACCACAATTTTGTTGTTAGTTATGACCGAGAAACTTTGATTTGATTGACAGTGGATTTGAAAAGGTTAACTGGTATTGCTTTAGCTAGTCTCTCTTATTAGTACTATGCATTCCCTCTATCTTATTAATTTTGTTTGAGGCTAAATATAAAAAAAGCAGACCGGCGATATCTAGTATTCCATAGTATTATTTGAGGCTAGATACAAAATAGGTAGACCGGCGATATCTAGTACTCCATAGTATTGTAGAGTAACGTCGTGATAACGAGAAATTCTCTTTACTACGGGAGAGACCCATCCCCATTTTTGACTGTTTATAGAATGATGAAGAAGATACTTAATAAAACCTTTCTCAACTCAACAGGGTGTGGTATCGGGCGTGCTACTGGTCACACCGAACGCGGTTATGTTCGACCCGAACGTATCGGACGTACTAGTGATGGAGCACGGGCCGGAGTCGTACGGTGTGATCGCGCCCATGGAGTACGTTGTCAACGCAGCCATATTCTACGATATCGCGCACATGCGCACCCACGGACCCGACCATAACGCGCAAAAGTATGTAACACATTTATTACCTATGTAAACATTTGAAATAAAGATATAGATCAATATCTATATATTTTTTAACTCAGGTTTCTCGTACTTATACAAAAACTAAACACACGGCAGTGCCGTGTGGCCACTACTAGTTAACTTAGAAACTTGAAATTTAGCATCAAATACATCATTAGACGTACCTATACAAAGGGAAAATCTCAAAACCACAAATATTGATATTAGGTCACAACAAACTTTTACAAACATTTATACAACAAAAATTTATTGGTAACTATTTATTGGTTTTGGTTGACTTTGTTGACGTATAATTCTTCTACCTAGTTTAAAAAATTAAATAAAAAAACAGAGACCAATATTTAATACAATTATAAAAAGATAAAACTTTTTTTTTTCAAAAAGTAGACAGCAATTACAAGAATTTGTATAATAATTACAAGATCTGAACAAAATAAACCCGTGTTATTATTAGTGTTAGTAACAGTATACAAATCTTATTCAAAGAGGATGAAATATGTTTGACATTTATTTCATTCTGAAATACTTAATAATGCATTGTTAGCTTCTAAAATACTTCCTCTGAACAATTAATCTTGGTCATACTTTTGTTAATCGATTTTCATCAGTCAATGAATTTGAATACAGTGAAGCATGATATTGTATTTTAATCTTATAATTGACAGAGAAAAAAAAGCGATCTGCTAAATATAAGTATAGGACAGCCTTTGTCAACTTAACGTCCACGGAAACTTCGGGCTCCATTTTCAGTTATTCTAGGAATACAATAAATACAAAATTTATTTATTTCATATTAAATCGACAATGACGGCCTTATCAGTTACAGTTACAGTTGAACAAGATATAAAGTAAGAGTTCTTGAGTGCGAGATATGCATCCATTCCTCCATAACAGCCTATAAAAGTTCACATATGAACATAGGCTTCCTCTATAGATTACCTCATAGGGGATTTTTCAAACCGAGTGCCGGATATGAAACTATATATTTAGTTAGATTAAATTAGGCTGATCTTAAGTTACTTATCTACTACTATTAGACAATTTTTTTTAAAAAAACCTTAACCCCGCATTAGGATTTTCTCCTGTATATTCGAGGCAGTTTACAAACATAAATTGCACACAGACAAATATCCAGACCCGGAACAATTATTTGTACACAATACAAATACTTGTTTTGTGCGGTATTCGAACCCGCGATCCTTAGCGGCGCATTTCAATGCTAAGCCACTGCTCCACTGAACCGTCTAAACTATTAACCGATCTAAACAAAGATATATTAGATAACTAGACTAACATCGATAATTTCACTCATTTTTGTAGATGTGGCAAACTAATTTTGCCGAAAATATTGTGTTTTATTAGATTGTTTTATGAGATTATGTAACGTAGTAAATCTTGTTTTGAAACAAACATTACATTCATTTGTTATTTTCAAGAAATGTCCAGCTTTTAAAACGCATATTTGTTTCGTAATATTGTAAAGAGTATAAAACAAACTTCCGTTTAAATGCATTACGTAAACACTCGAATCGGCTATTGATTTTTCACGGCCATAAAATTCACATGCACTTGTGTAAGTACCATTCATATGCGTTCCAGTGTTTATTCTCGTGGACCGATGAATGGTTTATTGTTGTTATTGTGCGATTAACATGACTCTATTTACTTGGACACAATGAATAACTATATAGTTAGTATAGCATAGTTATGAATAAATATACTGATGATTAGTTAAGAATGAAGCTGTCTTTATCAGAAGTTATATAATTGGAATGATAAGCATTGAGAAAATATTAGACAATTATTACTTACATAAATAGTTTCAACTATGATAAGAAACTATTCTCACGTGCATAAATTATGTAAGTATTGTATGTTGACTTTGGGAAATTATGAGTGTACGATTGTATGCACATATTACATATGTTACCGGAAATGTATGAAATCTAGGAATTGTATACAAATCCTAGAAAATTTATACAACTCCGAAGCTATTTAGGAAATGTATAAAATATTGTTTCAAAAACTATTTAATACATAAATGTCCTAGGAAATGTGCACAATTCCTAGGAATTGTATATAATTCCAATATCGTATTAGGAAATGTATAAAAATAATGATTTCTGTAATAAAACACGTTGTTAAAAAGAGAATAATAATTTTTATTAAAGCACTCGTTGAGACAACAGCGTTCAGGTAACAGTCATTTCGTAAAATATAATAATCTTCATATTATCTTACTAATTAAAGCTTCGAAAATCAAGTATCTAGGAACTTTTAAAATGTATTTATCACAAAATCGACTTGTATTATTCTCATAAAGTCAAACTTTCGTTGGGTAAGTAATTAGTCTGTTATTTAAGTAATTATAAATGTCACAATATTAAAGTAAGTCTTTATATTATATAACGAGTCAGTCCATATGGCTATTTATTTTTGCAGGGTAAGCCGGAGTGGCACTTGGAAAAGTACACAATAATATATTTATATAATTTATTTTACACATTTCCGTGCGATTTTAGGAATTACTTACATTTTCTAGGAATTGTATACAATAACGGATTACATACCGGTAACACATACACATATTTATTAAATTAAAGACGCATTCAAATCATAATAAAAATTACAATCTTTTTAAAAAATATTCTGTCAAATTTATAAATGTTTTCACTCGACTAGACATTTTAATACACAGACTAGCGTAGCTCTGTAATAAAAATAAATACTTATTTCATTATATTTAATACCCCAATAAAATGAAATAAATATTCACGTTTATTGCAATCGCACAGTTAAATAGTGTTTAACGGTGGTAGAGCCTTGCAGCAGCTTTTGCTGTTGCACGTATGGGCCGGCTCGAGCCGGGTTAGTACCACGACCTCACAGAATACCGGCGTGAAGTGGAAGCTCTGCTTCCGCGTTTCGTCTGGTGAGTGCAGGTGACCGGATGCCCAATTCCCCCCCCCCCCCTCCCCATCAACATGGTAGCGGAATTACGTCAAAAACTACCCCAGGAGGGTACCAGTACCCCTGGAGAATCCCTCGCTGAGCATCCACGACCATGCTATTCCACTCCTGAGCGTGGGTGCTCAGGCTGCCCCGCGTATTCTGGGGGGGGCAAAATTCCGCTCAACACAATAACTGCTCGGGGCAAACTGAGCAACAAGACCAAGGCGACCCCTGCCACGCTATCCGTGAATTTCTGCAACATCAGGGGACTTCACTCGAACCTAAACGCCGTCCACTACCATCTTGAGACGGCGAAGCCGGCCTTGCTCTTTCTGACCGAGACGCAGGTGTCCTCTCCGGCTGATACTTCGTATCTCTCCTACCCGGGGTACAAATTGGAGCACTCCTTTGTGCCTCGGGCTGGAGTTTGCGTGTATGTCAGAGAGGACATCTGTTCTCGACGCCTCGGCAGTCTTGAAGGTTCGGACCTGTCCATCCTTTGGCTACGCGTAGACAGCGACGACCATCCGCGCGTCTACGTGTGCCTCTATAGGTCCCATAGCGGTAATGCCGAAACAGACCGACTCATCGACCACGTCCAAATGGCTACAGATTCCTTGCTACAACAGGTCCCATCCGCAGAGATCGTGATCCTTGGCGATTTTAACGCCCACCACGCCGAATGGCTCGGTTCACGTTTAACCGATCATGCGGGGAGATCTGTTTATGACTTTGCCTTGGCATATGGTCTGACACAACTGGTTACATCGCCTACGCGGATTCCAGATGTTGAGGATCATACACCTTCCCTGTTGGACCTTCTGCTGACCTCTCATCCGGACGGATATCAGGTTTCCGTCGATGCCCCTCTTGGCTCTTCGGACCATTGTCTGATCCGGAGTGTGGTGCCACTCACGCTCCCCTCACGGTTGCGTTCTGCAGGTTGCCGCCGTGTTTGGCATTACAGGTCGGCGGATTGGGACGGAATGCGGTCTTTCTTTGCTTCCTACCCATGGGGGCGGGTTTGCTTCTCGCCGGATGATCCCAGCGCTGTTGCTGACTCTGTCACTGATGTAGTGCTACAGGGAATGGAACTATTTATTCCATCATCTGTGGTACCCATCGGAGGCAGATCTCAGCCTTGGTTTGGTCGCTCCTGTAAGACTGCATTACGCAGTAAGCAGGAGTGTTATCAAGCCTGGGCTGCGGCTTCGGTGACTCGGGATGTAAACACCAGCACACTCAAAAAGAAGTATAACTTCGCCTCCAGGTCCTTCAAAAGAGTTATTGCCAAGGCAAAGTCAGAGCACATAGGCAGTATTGGCGAGAAACTAGTTCGCCTTCCTTCGGGAACCCGTGCATTCTGGTCTCTCGCCAAGGCTGTCCAAGGGAATTTCTGTAAGCCATCACTACCATCTCTGCACAGGGAGGACGACTCACTGGCCCACGACGCAAAAGAGAAGGCCGACCTTTTAGGCTCCCTTTTTGCGTCCAACTCGACTGTTGATGACGGGGGGAACACACCGCCGACCATCCCGCGGTGTGAGTGCTCCATGCCGGATGTGCGATTCTCACAGCGCTCGGTTCGCAGAGCACTCCTCTCCCTTGACATCCACAAGTCGAGTGGGCCTGACGGAATCCCCCCAATTGTGCTGAGGACGTGTGCTCCGGAGTTGGCACCGGTTCTAACGCGTCTTTTCCGGTACTCTTACTTCCTAGGCGTAGTCCCGAAATCATGGAAGACAGCTTTTGTCCACCCGATCCCTAAAAAAGGCGACCGCTCAGATCCGTCCAACTACAGGCCTATCGCCATCACCCCCTTGTTCTCCAAAATAATGGAATCCGTTGTAAACTGCCACCTCATGAGGTACCTTGAGGATCACCAGCTGATTAGTGACCGCCAGTACGGTTTTCGTCGGGGTCGATCAGCTGGTGATCTTCTGGTCTACTTAACTCATAGATGGGCGTTGGCAGTAGAGTCCAAGGGGGAGGCATTGGCCGTTAGTTTGGACATTGCGAAGGCCTTCGATCGGGTTTGGCACAAAGCGCTTCTTTCGAAGCTCCCTTCCTATGGGCTTCCCGAGAAATTATGCAATTGGATCACCAGCTTTCTTGCAGATCGGAGCATCAAGGTCGTTGTAGACGGTGCATGCTCCGACTACAAGCCTATTAACGCTGGTGTTCCACAAGGCTGCGTGCTATCACCAACGCTGTTTCTTCTGCATATCAATGATATGTTGCAAGCTGGTAGCATTCATTGCTATGCAGATGACTGCACTGGTGATGCTCTATACACCGGCCGTGCCAATATTTCTCGGGAAAACATCACCGAGTACCGGAACAAACTTGTGTCTGAAGTCGAGTCTTTGCTGGACAAAGTCTCGGATTGGGGGCGACTAAATCTAGTCCAGTTTAATCCTCAGAAGACACAAGTTTGCGCGTTTACCGCTAAAAAGAACCCCTTTGTCGTATCTCCTCAGTTTCAAGGTACTCCCCTTGTTGCCTCAGCCAGTATCGGAATCCTCGGCGTCGACATATCGAGTAGCGTGCAGTTTCGTGGTCACTTGGAAGATAAGGCCAAATTGGCCTCTAAAAAGCTTGGCGTGCTCAGCAGAGCGGGACAGTATTTCATGCCGGCTCAACGCCTGCAACTTTACAAGGCGCAGGTTCGGCCTCACATGGAATACTGTTCCCATCTCTGGGCTGGGGCTCCCCAGTGCCAGCTTCTTCCACTTGACCGCATCCAGCGCAGAGCGGCTCGAATCGTCGACGACCGAGTCCTTTCCGATCGGCTCGACTCATTGGCACTGCGAAGAGATGTTGCATCTCTTAGCATTTTCTTTCGCATTTACCATGGGGAGTGCTCTGAGGAATTGTTCGGATTAATCCCAGCCGCCAAATTTCACGAACGCACATCGCGGCAGAACTCCCGATACCATCCACACCATCTGGATGATTGGCGGTCCACCACTGTGCGATTTAGAAGATGTTTTCTTCCTCGCACAACTTCCTTGTGGAATAGTTTACCACCAGCGATTTTTCCGGACCGATACGACTTAGGGACCTTCAAGAAAAGAGCCTACTCCTTTTTAAAAGGCCGGCAACGCATCTGCAATTCCCCTGGTGTTGCGGTTGTTCATGGGCGGCGGTAGTCACTTACCATCAGGTGAGCCGCATGCTCGTTTGCCCCCTCTCCTATAAAAAAAAAAAAAATTGGACTTACTTACGGACTCTCTTTTTTATAGTCATTTTATATTATTTTATGCTTATTCTTAGCTATCGTTTAAAATAATGTGTTTACTTTTTAATTTGCAGGGCAGAACAGGCCGAAATTTACTACATGAATAAATCGGAACATTCACCGGGCAAGGACTCACTTCTAGTCAAAGTGAGTGAATTTTATTAAATTGTTTTATATTTATTAATTAGAAGCCTATATTTTTTACAACATTAAACGTTAAAATTTTATACGTGGTAGAGCCATGCTGCAGCTATATTATTAGTATAGTTGTGGCACGAATGGGTCGCCTCGACCGGGGAAGGACCACGCTCTCACAGAATACCAGCGTAAAATAGCAGTTTAAAACTGCTGTGTTTCGTATGGTGAGTGTAGAGTACCGGAGACACTTTTTACTGGAAAAGAGGCATTTCACCTTAGTCCTCACGGGTGACAACGCATCTGCATTTTGATTCGTAAGCGAGGATAGATGTAAATGTCTATGGGCCACAGCAACCACTTACCATCAGGTGGACTGTATGCTCGTTTGTCACCCTATCCAAAAAAAAACAACTGCACGCCGCGGCCAGCGTGCACAACACGTGTTACGCGGCTCAGAAGGGAAATCGGTCTGTAGTTCTTCAAGATATAGTTGTCACCTTTCTTGAATAACAAGACCACCGCACTTCTGCTCCACGCCTCCGGTGTAATGCCACCATGGAGGACGGAATTAAAAAGCTTCTGAAGGACTTCAAGTACCGGTTTTCCACCTGCTTTCAGAAGCTCCGCTGTAATTCCGTCCTCGCCTGGGGCCTTGCCGTTTTTAAGGTGCTGGAGAGCCATTCTAATCTCACTCAGACTGACGTCCGCGATATCATCGGAATGACGGCTCCATGGCGCAGTGGCTTAGCAATCATTTGTTGCGCTATAAGTATTTGTATGGCCTATAAATAATTGTTCCGGGTCTGGTTGTTTGTCCTTGTGCAATTTATGTTTGTAAACTGCCTCCACGACACAGGAGAAAATCCTAGTGTGGGGGTAACGTTTTATAAAAAAAAAAAGGAATACTGTCGGATAAGACTCGCCCTTGGATCGTTACTCACACTTACGTGTGGCACAAACTCAAGTTGTAAATAAATTTCTGGAAAACAAGTCTCCTGTTAAAAAAAAACAATGCGTTGTTTGTCTTATTGTTTAATTTTGCTTAAAATGGTTGAACTGCCGTCTTATTACTATCATATGGCCGAATAGACCTACGAAGTACCATGTGCTCTTGTGATATGGTATAAGGTTTATTCTTGCTAGAAAGAGTTTGAAACCATTCATGCATAAAAAAAGTTCGCTAATAAATAGTCTCGTCAATCCGCCGCCGTATAGCGCCGGCGTTTTTTTTTTCCTTTTGAAAACACTTGTTTTTCTATTCTTACTAATTAGACGTTTTCAGATCGACTTTACTTTTACATTTGTATAACATTAAATAATATTTAACATTTGTAAATATCAATGTATCATAAACTTTATTTTTTTCCAAATTGAGGATCTTGATTGTTTCATATTTACAAATATTATTATTAGGTGAAAATTTAATTTAATAAAGGCGAAGGTTTTCCGGGGTGATTTAGCTGTACCTACTTATATAAATGATTTTTTTATAAAAGAAAAAAATAGTACAAAATGTTTGTAATCTCTGCACCAAAAACAGTCACTTCTCTATCTTCTCTAATCTCAAAGAAAACACGTAGAAAAACATGTAGCTACCCACAAAAAACAAGTATCCTTCCGTTTGTAACTGATGTTTGATGTCAAATAAACTTAATTAGGTCTAAACAAGTGAAAAAAGCATAAAAAAGAACATTACTTTTACACATGGCTGATGGCACAATAGGCTTGTCATCAACTTCTGTGGCGGTGTATTTGTTCGCCGCCACAGCTAAAAGTTGTCGAAAATCGGTGCCGCAACGAATCGGTTAAGAGTGTGATCGGAGAGTTTTTGTGTTCTTCTGCGGCAGGTCTTGCAAAACTTAGCTCTGACCGCATGGACAGTTTCCACGAGCTTGTCATACATATCATCCACTTCGTTGCAATCTTCTAGGCACTGAAAAATGTATATTGTACTAGTACAATTTAAATCGATTAAGCTCATGTGCAAACTGTACTTGTGTAAACAAAACGATCAAGCTTATTTTTTAGAATAAGGGTGATAAACGAGCACACAGTCCATCTGATGATATGTAGATGCTGTAGCCTATAGACATCTATATTTATTCTCGATTAAGGATCAAAATACACATGCATTGCCTGCATTACCTTGAGGACTATAAAAACTACTCTAAAAGGGGTAGCAGGTTCTCTACACTTACCATACGAAACATTAAAACATTAAGCTGCTATTTTACGCTGGGGTCAGTGAGAGCGTGGTCCTACCCCAGTCGAGCCGACGCATACGTGCTAGAACTATAATATAGCTGCAGCGTTGCTCTACCACGCACCACGTCTCATGTGCAATTTGCCCTCGACGTAAGTTATTAAATTGTTTAAGCCATTTCATGGCGCTAGAACTTTTTAATCCTGATCTTTTGGTTCAATATGCACCCATCTTCTGACGTTTTTCGTCACAATTAGTAAATTCGATATTTTCGTTATCACCAAATCGTTTAGGAATGTTAAGAGCAGGGGCGTAGCTACCGCCGTATCAGCCGTATCAATGATACGGGGCCTCCGGGCTACAGGGGTCCCGAACGTATGTAAGCAAAAATTCTAAGGACTTCTATGGGACAGGATGTTGGTTTGAATTGTTTGGCTAGCTTAGTTCCTAGGAGTATTAATTGTAAGCAATAACTTATAATCGATATATAATTATTTTAATTCAATGCGAGAGTTTTTGTTCCTTTTGTGAAAAATCTTTACCCTTCATTTGGCCCCCCCCGACAAATTTTGATACAAGATCCCTCTAAGGGACGCTAGTCCACTGGTTAAGAGTCAACTTTTCCCCAAAAATATTTTAATATGCATAATATATCATGTAAGTTCCCTATTACCTTCCCAAAAAACATTAATCTTTTTCTTCTCCTACTTTTTTATCAGCAAAAGAAGTCCACTGGACATAGGCCTCTCTTTCACTCCCACTGTCGTACAGACCAATGAATTTCACAGTTCACCTAATGATAAGTTCCTTCTGCAGCCAGTAGACAAATGCAACCAACTTTAAACATGCAGGGTTGTTATGCAAAACCGACCAAATTTGTAGCGAAGATTTAGAATGAGCAACATAGGCACAGAGCGAAGAAAAATTAATTTAAAAAATCTCAAACATTCTGTTCTTTTTATCTTTTAAATTCAAAATGCGTGGTAATGTATTATTATAACTGATTTTACTGCGCAAGCACACATTCGAAGGAGTCGATCGGTAGGCAAAAACGTTGTTGCACATAAATCACATTCAATTTGGGATAATTTCAAATAAAAGTAGAAGCCTTATTTACTCGTATTTTCAAAAACTGCAATAACGGTATATCATCATTTATTTATTTGCACTTAAGTTTAAAATTTAGCTACTCTTTGAAAAATAACCCTGTGCAAAGCTACAGATGCGTTGTCACCACTGAATAGTAAGATGGAATGCCACACAGCCTGTAAATATATTGGTTTTATATACACTTCAGACCGAAACACTGCTGGAGAAGTACTGTTTTGTAAGATTTGGCGGCAGAAATAAGTAACAGGTTACTTACTTAACCTACTCCTAGGACTTCTAGGCAGAAAGATGTCCTATTACTCTGTGCAAGAAGTCTAGTACTGGACGCAAGGATTTCCGCAAATCCCATACAACGGAAGTGTCCTAAGTCCTGCTCTGGGCTGATGATGATATAGCACTAATAGAAATGGATGGGTGATTAGGACGAGACGTTTCCTGAACTACAGGCAGCGGGCGGCGAAGGCGAAGAGAGCGCCGCTGGTGAGGAGCGACCCGGCTCCGGCGACGTTGAGGATCGCGGCGGCGCCGCCTTCCCAAAGGCTTTCGACAGGGATCTCGTCACGCCTACCTCTCTACAGGTATCTCTTAGAATTTTTTTTAGTCGACTTCTATGGAAGAGATATGTATGTTCTTTATGTGTGTACGTTATGCGGTATCTTTGTAATTTGTAAACCGACTTTGATGATTCTTTTTTATTTAATAGCTTATTCTTCAAATTGGCAAAATAGGTGATGACATTTTTATTGTAACTATTTAGACGACATTGAGGTTGTGATACTCCTTAGTCCACTAAAAAGAGTGGATAATTACCTTGTATACAAATATTAAGTTTCACATTCCGAACCATAGACTTAAGAGTTTAATTTATTTTTAGTTTTTTGAAATCGGCTCTTACTTCTTAATAAAAGTTAATTTATTATTGATAGTCTAAAAGACTATATTATAATATAATAGACAAAGGCTATATTGTCAAGGGGAATACGATATGTCCGAGCTGCAATTGTCTTAGCTTGGTCACTCGGACACAGGACGACATTAGTGAGATTTAGCTAAAACCTTAATCAAATGTCTCGCCGCTCAGATATCCTTTTAAGATTGTGGGTTATTATCTTTGTGGCACTTCTCTTTTTCGATCTCAGTCCTTAATCTTTTAATTGCGTCCATACCTGCTGTCCCTAAAAACGGACATGAAATTTCATGTGTTGATTTCTTTTCTGTTTAGATTAATTTGTTGTTATAAATTCTTTTGTTTTTAGTTTTTTCGTACTAAAAGTCTGTCATAATATATCAAAAATTCTAAACAGGCTTGTTTTTGTTATGTCGCCATATGTCGCTTTTTCGATCTTTATGGCCGGGCCATTGCCACATCAGCTTACTAATCCTTTGGGCTATGTCGGTCACTCTGGTTCTTAGGCGGATATCCTCGTTCTTAAGTCTATCACACAGAGAAACCCCGAGCTTAGCCCTCTCCATACCCTGCTGCTTACCTTGAGCTTCCTCATACGGCCAGCAGTAAAGGACCACACGTCTCAGTTCCATAGGTCATCACTGGCAACTCGCACCGGTTGTACAATCTTACAGATAATACTGTCTTTCTTTTAACCAATTAACCATTACGGTTACAGCCAAAATAGTTTGTATTAATTTTATAGTTTTTTTTTTAATATTCAATTTTTTACAGCAACAAACAACAGAAGAGAGGCGGAAGTCGCTGTTGGATCACCACTGGGCTATACCAAGCAAAGACAGAATGTCAATTGATCAAGGAAGCGAAGTAAGTTATAGTAAATTATCTTTATAGATTACACGGTGAATTTAATGCTAAAATCTATTAAATAATACTACCATATGACTGTAGTGTAAGAAAATACAGTGAGCGTTTTTCTGCTGGCCAATATCGGTATTGCGCGCGGGACTGGGTTATTGAGCATTAACTGGGAAGCAGATACCAAGATTAGAATTCCGATACACCGTTGTCAATTAAAAAACGGGTAATACATCCACTATCCCTCAACCGACAGGGAATTTACATATGTATAGAGCATGTAAAACATAACAAAGTGAAACATTTATACGTGCATTTAAGCATAACAAAGTGAAACATACGTGATTTGATATTCTTACAAAATAAGAGTTTGCAAAGTGTTTATCTTTGAATGTTTGTCAGTGCTAATGCATGGCTATATATAGTTTATAATGCTTTTCAGGTGTCCTCGAACGCAGACCAAGGCAAAGACGAGAGTCTGGACGTATGCGTAGGGCCGGGCGAGCGCGCCGAGAGTGCGGCGGGAGACGTTGGCGAGGGGGAAAGGGAGGGCGAACTCGTCGATCGCGGGGAGGGAGAGGGAGGGGAGGATGAGGCTCCGAGGGACGCCGCACGCCACCTCGTCAAACTCTCGTACCACGATTCCGGAATTGACATCCGTGAACCGCTTCTGCATGTCACCCCCGTAAACTCTAAGAAGGTAATCAATCTTCAAGTTAAATCACTATTCAGACAAATTTTGAACCCTGTGCAACAGTTCCGTAATAGATGACTGATTTTTATTTGGTGGTATGAGGTGAAGCGCGGGACCACGGCATCATGCCTTATGCACAATTGGCTTGTTGTTAATTCTACAGACAGTGATTGAGATCACATCTAGTGATGTGATGACTGAGACGCACTTAATACGACGTTTCGTTTCTTGTCTGATATATACCTGTAAGATATATGTCTAGAGCGAATATTACAAGCAGCCGTTAGATGTTTTGTCCATAGTCGTATTTTTATAAATTACTGTTACACTTATCCTAGTTATATAATAAAATCTAAAATACTCTCATTATCCCAGCGTGTTCAAATCCAAGCATGTCATTATGCAAGCAGCTGTACCTTTGCTTTTATCAACAATCTTGTGCCTCTCATAGTGTCATTCACTTTTAGGTACAGAGAAAATGAAGTTAAATATTTATTAAAATAATAATTAGCAGATGTCTGAACCATGTATAATGACTACTATTTGGTGTAGACATTTGTTCAGCTGGACTTATAAAGATGATGAATTTGATGGTATTACTAATTTGCTTGTGCTATGCTCATCGTTTAGTTCTGATTTCAATAATTTTTTTGTAATAATTTTGGATTTAACAGTCTTATATAAGTCAGAAAAAGTCAGTCTTCAGTCTTCTAAGTCTTATATAAGTCAGAAAAAAATCTGTATAATGTTAATTAAATCCTTGAAAATGTTCTTTTATTTTAATGTATTATTATTATTTTATCGTATTATTTCAGGCATCAACACATTAATTTTACGGGTTTCTCGCGTTATTTTGTCTCAAGATCAGAAATAATTTAAAGGGATAGTAAAGGGACTATAAAATTGCATTTGCTAGAAATCTTACTAAGAACTATAGCTCAGCAATATTACTATCGATACTTTTGCTGCACTGTTATTGTTCAACACCTTGTACAGTATATACAGGGTAATTTTTTCAAAGAGTAAATAAATTTTAAACTTAAGTTCAAACATAGAAATAATGATATACCGTTATTGCAGTTTTGAAAATACAACTAAATAAGGCTTACTACTTTTAGTTTAAATTATCCCAAGTTGAATGTGATTTATGGGCAACAACGTTTTTGCTTACCGATCGACCCTTACGAATGTGTGAGTGCACAGTAAAATCAGTTAAAATAATGCATTACCACGCATTTTGAATTTAAAAGATAAAAGAGAAAGAATGTTTGTGATTTTATTAATTCATTTTTCTTCACCATTTGCCTATATATTACTTATTCTGAACCTTTTTAGCAAATTAGGCCGATTAATTCAAAATAACCCTGTATATACTGCCAATTTTAACTGTACTTGACGATAGTTGCTTTAACTGTACCGCCGCGCTGAGCAGTTGATTTTATAAATTACATGAAGCAACATTGACGATATAGACTGTAACTTGATGGCTACACAATTGCAGCAAAAAATTGCCAACCAAAACTAACCCGTAGACGATCACTTTTAAATGCATTTAGTCCGCAGTTTTCTGTTTTATTGATTATTTTTTACTTTTTAAACTGAATCCAATATGCGTCATTTTAGGGCCCTCATTTGATTCCATCGGCATCAGACCATGAAGATTACTATCATGAAATAGATACAATACTCGAGATCGCTGAACCTGATATCTCGATGTACGACGATTTCTGCGATGAGAGCTATGAGGAGAAATTTCTTGATTACTTTTATTTAGACGATCTAGATGTCGAGGTGAGATCTTGTACTTCTAATGAAGAGGTGAGATGGTGATAGTGGTGGGAGATCTCCTGTTTGTTCCTCGTAATCTTTCGCTCTTGTGAAGTGAAGGTTAAGGCAGAGAAGTGAAGCAGTAGTTGTTGTGTTTTTCTTATTTTTTATTTTTATAAGTCTCTTCAGGTTTTAAAGTCAATGCTGTGTGATGGTCCACTATTGAATCTTTTATGGTGTTTGTCAAATTACCTTTTGTTTCTTACTTTGCTATACTTAATAAAATCTTACTTTTCTTAATTGTTTTTAGTTATTTTCTATTTCATAAAAAACAAAATTTATTTTGTTATACTCCTACTGTTATTAGAATAGTTACAATGCAATAGTTACAACAAAACTATTGAATACTAGTGAACCGCCCTGGCTTCGCACGGATGATTTTTGTATGTCGACAACAGCGCTGTCTACCGGGTCCTATTGTGAATCTAAAACATTCTCGAATCAATTTAATCACACACACACAATTTCATCAAAATCGGTCCAGCCGTTTATGAAGAGTTCATTCGCATACAGACAGAAAAATTATATAAGATTAAAAAAGAAATAAAATTTGTTATTCATAATTGATGTAGATCTTATATGATACACGAATATGATAACGTAATCCTGGCCAATTTTGACCAAGGCTTGGCAACGACTTCGAACAATCGGAAATTTATATTCTACGCGACATCATGAGCAGAGTATTAATAATATATCTTATCCTTCATAACGAATATCGGTCACGGCGCCCGGTCGCAACGGAGACTAGCCATTTGCGCACAAGAGGATTATAGTGCCCGATTGTATGCGGAAGCACAGGTGCACTTTCTTTTTCCTCACTCAGATAGTTTGATGGGACCGGAGAGAGATCAACCGCTGGACCAACGGTTTAACGTGCTTTCCATGGCACGAGGGTGAAACACCATCAATTTCTTACTCCGGGCTTTTCTTGGCATAAAATCCAATTTACTTTATTTTTGGTCCGACTCCGGGATTCGTACCCGGGATCACATGATCAGCAGTAGTGCTTACGATTTCTAGATTTACGAGCCAGTCATTCCTGTGAACATTAATTTAAATTATTAAGAGTTAAATAGTAAACTTACATGCAGAAAAATAGAGTTCAGAAAAGCAGTTAATTGATCGGAGTTATTTACGATTGCGAAGCTATTTTAAATCGATTGTTCAGACATTTGCTTCACTTAACAAGTATGAAAATAGCAATAAATGACGTCATCTTATCCAATATCTTATCGTTATATTTAATTAGTCATTATTCTTAGCGTTTAAATGTAACAACCAAGTCGACCAAGTTTAGAGATGCAGCACGAAATAACAAATCAAATAATATATGTATTTATTTGCACACCATACAGAGTCCTTAAACAATAAATACAAAATGTTAACTTATTCTACACAATAGTATTTTAGCTGACGCTCACAATAGCAAAATCTGAGCTGTAAACGTCAGTACTCTTCCAGTGTCACAATGTACAATAATTACACAATAATAACAATTAAGTCCATGAAAGGTTAAAGAAAAAAGAAAATAAAAAATTACCATTTCTAAGGATCTATTTAATTAATCTATTTAATAACTCATAGTAAAAATTATACCATAACTTTATATAAACTCGATATAAATGTTGTTATATTTATATATTTTTAATTTTCATATATTTCGTATTGTCCTTATTGTGTTTGTTTGTTTTATATTAGTATTTTACTCGTACTTGTTACAATTATTAAGTTATCGTACAGTTATCGTCTTTTTTAACATGCTGTAACTACCTTTAAATGGAAACATGTAAATCTTAGTTCCTAAGCCTATTGTCACATTTTTTTTTCACACAACATGTTATTCCGTTGGTGGTTCTATCAATAAAAAAAAAAAAAAAAACAAGATATGTATCGCTATGTCTCTCTGTGTGTGTGTGTGTTGTGCGTGCATGCGTGCGCGTGCGGACGCGTTCGTGTGTGTGTGTGGGTGTGTGTGTGTTCCTGTGCGTGTGGATGGTGTGTAGATGTGGATGTAAATATATATATGTGTGTGTGTGTATAGACAATATATCAACTTACGGGTTTCAGTATAGATTCCGTTGTGTTATAATCAATACTTTGTAGCCACTTAATAACACTTATTTACCTTTTTATACAAAAAGGGTCCAAGAAATTGATAAAAAAGTTGGCCAAATAAAGCTTTTACGTGCACCGGCCGAGTTCTATTTTTGCGTTGTTGACGATATGACTGTTGACTGTTAAGTTTATTTCATTGGTTTACCTATTTCATCTAAAGTAAGAAATATAAACCAAAGTTTAATAACTACCTACAGAAGTTTTTTTTTTTAAAGTTTAGCCACGAACATTCACTGTTGAATAAATATCTACAGATCAGAATAAAAATGAGCCAAATCAAAATAGATATAGTTTAGTTTTAGCTCAAATATTTACGTTCATAGTAAATTAACTGAATGTATTTTAATAGGTATATAGCGACGCGGACATAGTGCTTTCAGCGGATTGGGTTCCTCCAGTGTGTTTACCTCGTACCGAACCCCCGCTATCAGCCCCGCCCCTGGGAGAAAACGATAGGACACCACGTAAATCTGCAGCAGTCTCTTTCTCGCTTGATGGCAGTAACCAAAAAGAAGATATTGGAAAACCGGATAAGAAAAACAAGGTACCACGAACTAGAAAGAGTTATTTATCAAATTTCATGAAATGTTTTTTTTTAAATATATTTTATACTGCAAGGCCGGCGCCAGATATAGCAACAACATTTGAACACTTATTTAAAGGATTTTGTACACTTGTTTGAACACTTATTGGCGCAACCTGCCAGACATGCTTTGCAAACACATCTCTCCACAGTACGTTGTAAAACGACAAACAAGATGGACGACGATTTTGTGGATGCAGTGTGCGTGTATTATTGTGCATGTCATTATTTATTTAAAAAAATCTATCAAAACGGTCGAAAATCAGACGCGAATGAAGGTGTTGTCAATATACTTACATTACAAAGAGAGTATTAATTAATGTTAGTTTTTACGATTTAACTTTGCGCAAGTGTGGCAGGCTACGCTAACATTTGAACACTGTCGACTTTGAACGCTTTGATGTACACTAATAAACCGAAACCGTTTGGCAAAGTGCATTTCTTTGCGCACTTATTTGTACATTGATTCAAAGTCCCGTGCCAAACATAGCTTCAAACAAGTGTTCAAATGTTTAAAGCTATATGTGTGTGGCGCCGGCTTAATAACTTCGTGTAAGCGGTCACACACCATTTGAAACGAATATGAGCTAAGGAATTATGAAGTTATTTGTTTTTCATTACATAAGTATATAATTATTATCTGCGTGATAGTCTTCGTAATGAAGAGCCCAAGGTAGCCCAAGAAATGAGTAAGCGTAATGGCAATGGGCCGGTTATATAGCTCGAAGAACCGACAACCGAAGAAAAGTCGCTAGACTTGCAGTCTCGTACCGGTAAATGAATTGTATGACGGTCCTTCATTAGATGAACTAACAACCTCGCCGAGATACAGAAAGTCAAGATGAAAGTGGCTTAGGACCCTACTGACTGATATTTCTGTGTAACATAATAGGCCTAGACATGTGATGTACTTTAATGGTCATGATAAATTTAAATTATAATTTTTCAAACATAACAAAAATAAGCAAATCTGAATTTATGCCTAGTCCAATATACGCTATTTTACGCTATTTTATAATTTACTGCGTGCATATATTGAACTATATACATTATAACTAATGGACAGTATAATTAAAGAAAGATCCTATTATATGATCTACAACATGTAGTAGGAGTCAATGTTATGTTGTCTCTTACCATAAAGTCTTTAAACGTAAATCTTCAGTAATTTTTTACATATTTTTTCTTGAGACTGGAAACAACAACCTCTCACAGTCCGATTTGTCTAATATTATTAATAATAAATGTTTAATTTATTAACTATAGGCTTACATTCTATCATTGTTAATGAATCGGAACCATAGAAACTTCATTTTCATAACTGTCATACTTTTACATGAATTTTTCTTTCTCTAAGATGTTGAAGAGGCTTTCCTACCCACTCTCATGGGTAGAAGGGCTAACAGGAGAAGGGCCCGCGGGAGGAACGCAAGGCTCCCAGAGTGATTCGCTTCCGACCTCAGCCGATAGCCACAACACTAGCGTTTTCTCTAAAGTATTTAACAGGTGAGTGGTCAGTTTTCAATTCGTAATTTACTTTAACTATACTTATGTGTTTTTTTTAAATTAATTACATAATATCAACTCGAAGTCATGAACAGGTTTTAAACACGTCATAATATTGATCATATCATAATATTAATTTTTGCGGTACTATTCCATTATATGGCTGGTTATTATAACATAACAATTTACACTTTCAATATTGTACGTGTATTTATATTGAAGTATTCAAACAAAAAAATCACAATATGTTTTTAAAACAATACCTTTACTACCAAACATTATTAAGTGACAATTTATGTATCAATTCATAAGTCATCAGCTCATAAGCATCACGTCTAAGTATTCAAATGGTTACTAATTGCTCAAGTAAAGACGTAACACAATATGTCATAACAAATAGAAGCACGTAATTTAACAATCGATACGAACACAAATGAGAAGTCATTAAATAGTTGTGCAAATTTCCGAACGATAGTATAAATAATAAATATCATCTAAGTATATTTATATTACGACATACATTATACCTCATTAACATGGACACAATTAGACCCCGACCTCTGTTAGGATTAAAATTAACTTTTTTTGTATTTATATAGAATACGGATGTAAACAACTTTACGATCATTCTGTATCTAATCGAACTCCTTGACAATGAATACAATGTATTCTAATTAATTATGTTTGTTTTAACCGTTAACCTTATTTATTTTATTAAAGATGTAATAACCATGTATAAATTTATATAGAAATTATCGTAACTGCTATATATTATTAGACTTAACTGTAGACGATTTTATTGTTATTCGATAATACTGCATTATCATAAACAAATTATAAAACTTTTCCACTGTAAATGCACAAATCTTATATTTAAATTACTCCTAGCATATATTAATAACATAGCATTAGTTGCTATTAAACCCTTTTATTTAAAGTATTATTTATTTACGATAACAAATACATCATTTGGGTATATTAGTTTAAAAAATGCAAAATTTTCATTACATTTTAAAAGTAAATCATTATTACTATTGATCACATAGCTATGATACATAAACATCTTTAATAAAATAACTTAATGCTACAAATAAACATAACACTTTTATACTTTGGAATAATAATAAATCCTGGTGCATGGACAGCCCAGACAAGTATTCACCGTAGCATGACTTGTCTTGCAATCAATGCCCTGCATTTCTACAACAATCATTTGTCTAATGTTATAGATATTTATTAATTATTGAAATTGTTCCCCCCCCCCCCCCTCACATTTATAATTGATTTTAATTGATTGATATTGAAATCGAAATCTAATTAAGAGAAATGCTGCAAAATTATTAAAAATTTCGTAAACTTTTTCTTTGCTACCGTGGATGCTAACCGGAATCTACCGAATTATATCCCAAACACACTACGTTTATTGACGCTTAACCATAGTTCGCCAATGAACTTAGTGGAGTTTGGCACGGGTTTGTTCCTGAGTAAAACCCCATCGGAGGAGACGCCGCACGACGTGTTCTCCACATCGGGGTACGTGAGCCCACGTTCCGCTGCCAATGTCAAATTGATGTGCGAAATCTGTATTGTGATGCCTTAAGGACCCAAGATTGGACCCCAACTATTTATATTAGTTTTGCACGCTGAATTTAAAGTATTTAATTTATTGTATACGCGATGGATTATTTTTATAGCAACATAATGAATATGAAAAAAAATACTCGATGGATTGATGTATAATAAGTGCTACATTATTTTATTCCATGTAATTGGTACTCAAATCTTAAAAAAAGTTTCTAACTTTAAAATAATTTTATTCTATTTTTGGTGTGAACTGATTTCTTTCATTGTGTTTTTATTAAACATTAACAAATTCAGCGTGTATGTAAAGAATATAGTTACAAATTAGCACAACATGTTATAACATTAAGCTTGATTTATCTTATGGTGTCATAATTTTCAGAGATAAAATTGGTTAAGTGTCAGTGATCAATAAATTATAATGGGAAAAATACAAAAAAAATCTTCATTGACCTTTGTTTTATTTTGATATGACGATAGATAATTTCTATTTCACTTAGCCAGTTTATCAAACTTATTTAAATTAGCGTGTTGTGGTCCAATGCACTGTCTCTTCCATATACACTGTTTTTGTATTTAAGGTTTCTCCACCGATTGTGTTCGTTACTTCTACTGTTATAAAAGCGTTTGAATTTTAGATGTACAATCCAGAATTCAAGTGTTGCTTGTCTTTTTAAATATATTGACAGGTTGCATGTTTTATTGTGTTAGGGAAGAATATAGAAGGAGTTTGGGATTTGTATCATATTCATCTTCTAAGTCGCTGTCACACTGTTGGTGCACCGCTATTTGACACATTTAAATAAATAAAATATATTGTTTCAAAACTGTATTTGGCATACTATATATTTTTTTATTTCTGGCATACAAATGTATGTGAATTATAATTTAAAAAATTGGTAAAAGTTCTTGAGATGTCTATATAAATTGGCGTTTTAATGCATGTTCAAAAAGCTTTCTAAATTTTGTCGCAATGGCGTGGCGCTAACTTGAAATTTCATCTAAATTCTCTTATATCAACAAAAGGAGAATGAACTTTTGTTTTGTTATAACATCATCATAATCAGTCACACCACTATCATCTTATTGGCACCCTTTTATTATTATTGTAACCAATTTTACTGCATTTAGCATGTTTGTTACTGTTTAGTCACGGTGTGATTTTCTCCTGTTTAACGTAACACTTATAGATAAATAAATATTTTTCAAATATTTTTAACAGGTACAGCGAATTTGGATTACCAGTCTGTTTACTGCCTTATTGTTTTATTTAAATAAATATTACTTACGCTCTGATTACAACTTTATATTTATATGTTTCATCTACTAATTATCACTATAAGTGTTACAACGTATTGTTTGTGTGCAGACGCAGTTCCTTGGGAGGCTTCGGCCGTTCTCATACTAAATCGACTTCGTCAAGTGGCTCAACACATCCGAGGCTTGATTACCGTAGCATGGTATCCGTTGACGACATGCCCGATCTCTTCGCTTCTTTTGATAGTAAGATATTTCAATGTATAATATTAACATACTTTGTTTTGAAGTGAATTTCTTTAGCCGCACTGAGCGATTTTTGATAGGGGAAAAACATATGGATTCGCGACGTCGCGCTTGCGCGCAATACGTCACAAACATGTATACTATGTCGCTAGTCTGAAATTATCCAGTACTTTATGCTACGTCACACCTTGATTACAAAAGTATTAGGATTAAAAACAAAATATGCGATAATATTGCTGAATATAATAATAATAAAAATACATCGTCACGGTTAGCCATGTTGACTGACGTCCGATCGTAGCACAGATACCACAGCGAATGGAGCTTCTGGCCGCCGCTGCAACCGCGGTGGTGTGTTGTTGCAGTGGCTGGAGTCGCGGCTCGCGGTTAGCCGCCCCCGCGAGCCGCTTGTGTGTGAGAGACGCTTATAGTGGAGATTTCCAACGTTAAAAGCGCTCCCTTCTCCGAACGAATAAAGAAGTGAATGGCGCTTCATCATCAGCCTGCAGCAGTCCACTACTGGACATAGGCCTCTCCCAAAGCGCGCCACTTGGCCCAATCTTCGGTTACACGCATTCAGTTGCTGCCCGCCGCCTTGCGCAGATCGTCGCTCTATCTAGAAAAAGTGTGTCCCACACTACGTTTGACTAAACGCGGTCTCCACACTATGACACGCCTACTCCAAGGGTTATCTCCTCTGCGACAAATGTGACCAGCATATTGCTACTTCAGCCTGCAAATACGGAATGCTACGTCGGTGACCTTTGTTCTCCGGCGGATTTCTTCGTTCTCTCAGAATCTTATCCATCAAAGAAACTGCGAGCATAGCTCTTTGCATCGCCCGCTGGGTGACTTTGAGTGTGTGAAGTAGTCGTACCGTTAGTGTCCACATTTCGGCAACATCTGTGAGTACGGGCAAGACGCACTGGTCAAAGACTTTCGTCGTCTTCAAGTTTTGCGATATGAATTTTGCGGTTTGTGAGGAAACAAAGGATTTAAATAACAACGTAGCCGATAAAGAATCTATTTCAATGCCACGCATTTGATTACCGAAAAATATATGGTTATCGCTTAAAAACGATAACTCGAACATTTTTTCTCGGCGATTAAAATATAATATTATATTCCGATTACATAGGCTGCACTAAAAGTATCGGGAATGGAATATTTCCACTGTTCCTGTCATATTAAAATCTTTTTAATTGAAAACTCCTTGGTTTTAAAAATCGAATACCATTTATTTATTTAAAACAAGATTCTCGGTCTTGTCACAAGGTTTTGTCAAACTTGTTTAGTCGTTGAGAAAATGGAATTGACTCGAGAAAATTCAAGAGCGATGATTTATTATGACTTTTGAAGTGGTTTAACACAAAAACAGTGTGTTGACCGGATGATTTCTGCATTTGGTGATGAAGCCCCATCTAAAACCACAATTTATCGCTGGTTTGCTGAATTTCAACGTGGACGTGTCAAGGTCAGTGATGATCCCCGTCAAGGTCGTCCAAAAACTGCAGTCACCCAAGAAAACGTTGATGCTGTGCGTAAGCTAATTGAGGAAGATCGACATGTGACATACCGCGAAATTCAGGCAACTTTAGACATTGGCATGAGTCAAATACAAATAATCTTGCATGAACAATTAGGTGTAAAAGTGTTGTTTTGCCGATGCATACCGCATTCGCTCTGTGAAGAGCAAAAAGCGGCTCTCGTTACTTGGTGCGTCAGAACTCTCGAAAGATTCCACGCAGGATCCTCAAATGCTGTATACAACATCGTATCAGGTGACGAATCCTGGATATACGCGTACGAATCCGTAACAAAAAACCAGTCACGAGTTTGGGTGTTCGAAAATGAGTTTAAGCCAACAAAAATTGTTCGTTCACGGAGTGTTGTAAAAAAAATGGTGGCCACGTTTGTCTCCAAAACCGGCCATGTTACGACTATTCCTCTTGAGGGAGAAAGAACAGTTAATGCAGAATGGTATGCTAGCATTTGTTTGCCACAGGTCGTTTCTGAACTCCGTAAAGAGAACTGCAACCGCCGCATCATCCTCCATCACGACAATGCGAGTTTTCACACCGCACACAGAACAAAAGAGTTTTTAGAGCAAAAAAACATAGAATTATTAGACCATCCGCCGTACAGCCCCGACCTAAGCCCTAATGATTTCTATACTTTCCCTAAAATAAAGAATAAATTGCGTGGACAGAGATTTTCATCACCTGAAGAAGCTGTGGACGCCTACAAAACGGCCATTTTGGAGACCCCAACTTCCGAATGGAATGGTTGCTTCAATGATTGGTTCCATCGTATGAAAACATGTGTAAAATTTCGCGGAGAACAGTTAAAAAGCAATAAATACATTTTAAATAGTAAAGTTGTGTCACTTCCTTGATTCCCGAAATTTTCAGTACCGGCCTTGTATTATAAATTATTTTATAAATCCATTCCATAAGGCAGTCAATTTAGTATTTCATGTATGCGCAACTTTCGTGCGTCAAAATCGTATTTAAAGTACAAAGACTTCTATCTATACTATCAGATGTATTCTGCGGGCTTAGTACATTGCGCACTAAGTTACGGCCAATTCTCCGTAACTTCTTTAGTCTACTGCGAGCGGGCAAACATTATGTAACTTTATTACGTATTTGCCTGCAAACGGTACTGTCGTAAATGAAAATACAACTAAGTGGCATGTTTACCGTGCTAGCTAACCGCCCGCGCCCGCGTATTCACAATTGTGACACATTTTTTGTTCAGAATTGCCGGTCTTGTAGCATACATACAAGTTTTTAGTAAAATTGTATATTTTATCGAACGTGTCGTTTACTCGTGGCGGTGTTGTCGCAGAGTTGATCCCGCGGCCGGCGCGGCCGAGCGACGACCCGCCGCTGTACCTGCGGCTGCGCATGGGCAAGCCGGCGGGCCGCCCGCTGCCGCGCTCCACGCAGCTCATGTCGTACGGCCGCAAGCGCATGAAGCCCGAGTACTGGTTCGGCGTGCCCAGGAACAGGTGCGTCACCCACCCGCAACACAATCCTCTACCGCCACCATTCACACACGCACACGCACACGCACGTGCACGCGCACGCACAAGCTTTAATTCTATATGGTATTGTTTAATACCATATACAATTAACTAATAATACAGGAAATGTTGTTTTTATTATTTTTTAAAAACAATATAATATATACCAATTTATTTGGCACATATAAAATTATTCTAGTCAACTAATTGAAGCTTCGACTGTATTTCGTTTAAACATTTTTTACCACCAGGGTGGATGATCTATACAAGTTCCTAACTCACTGGGTGCCAAACCGTTACGGACCGCTAGGAGATGTGGCGGCGCAGGGATACGAACTTATCGATAGCGACACCGAATGGGACGATGAAGACACGAAACCTGGTATTAAGGTACGATTTCGAAAACAACTTTATCATATTACTAAGTAAGAAAACATGTATAATTTACAGATAATGAAGCATTCCAGTTAGTTCTAGCTACCGTAATCACTTATTATTAGATGAACAACAAAATAAATGTGTTTATTACTTTGATGTTATAAAAATGATTAGTAACCTTAGGTCATGAGCTTGTATGCCGATCGAAGCAAATATTTTTAATTAACCATATAATTTTTGTTTCTGATTCTTACGCTGTATTTATCGGTTACGCGTCACATGGTCACTGTACAGAGCGATGAGAATAAGTGACTATATATCTATATATATTTTGTAAATCAACTATCGAAGTGAATCGATGAGGACCCAAGTCGAGTTGCCTGTGTGCTTTAGGCTCCATAAAGATTGCCTCATAGGGGATACATTTGCCATAGTTAGATGGGCAATGCAATGTTCTTTTTTTAGATGTCGTCAGGAAGGCGCCGCTACCCACTTAGTTTGTTTATATGTGTCGCCTCTTACGACACCCACGGAAATGATATGGACTAGTGGATATTCTTACTCCGTCACTACACGATACTCCTCGCCTCGGAGCGCCTCAAAATGATCATTGTCAGTTTGGCGGTGAAACAAAACATCGCGTCTGGGAAATAAAAATAACTTATCGGGGAAATGGAAAATGTCAAAGCGCGACAAAATGTCATTAGCTCTTTTAATCTCCCAGAAGCGAGCCATGACCTAAGCTCTCTAATGAGATTAATCTTCATATATAAAAATTACGTGTCACGTTGTTTGTCCGCGATGGACTCCTAAACTACTAAACCGATTTCAATGAAATGTTTTACAATGTCTGCAGTTTGCTCCAACTTGAGAGATAGGATAGTTTTTATCCCCCTAAATGACCCCCAAAATTTTTTATTGCGAATTTAAGGATTTTTATAGGAAGGGTCGTAGGAAAGGGCAAAACAACGTCTGCTTGCCGAGCTAGTAGTCATATATATTTAGTTCTTAAAACATATTAGATACTAGCGATCCGCCCCAGCTTGTCTCATGTGTTTTCTGCATCTCAACAATCAACAACAGCGCCACCTGCCAGGTCTGGATGGACCTCAGCACACTCAAACACACACAAAAAATTTCGTCAAAATCGGTAAAGCCGTTTAAGAGGATCAGTGACAAACACACGTACAGAAAAATTATACTGGGTTATTTTGCAATAAACGGCTGAATTTGCAAAGAAGTTTCAGGATAAGCAATATATTAGGCAAATATAAAAAATAAAAAGTTCTTAAACATTCTGTCCTTTTTATGTTTTAAATTCAAAATGCGTGGTAAAGCATTATTTTAACTGATTTTACTGCGCTCGCATATCGATCGATCGGTCGATCGGTAGGCGTGTAGGATAATTTCAAATAAAAGTAGAAGCCTTATTTAATCGTATTTTCAAAAACTGCAATAACGGTATATAATTATTAATTTTATACATTTGAAATTAAGTTAAAAATTAGGCTATTTGAAAAATAACCATGTATAAAGTATAAACAGGGTTATTTGCAATAACCGGCCAAATGTGCAGAGAAGGGTCAGAATAAGTGATACAGGCAATTATTGAAGAAAAATTAATTTAAAAAAATCTCAAACATTCTGTCCTTTTTATCATTTAAATTTAAAATGCGTGCTACTAATGCTTTATTTTAAGTGATTTTACTGCGCACGCATACATTCTTAAGGGTCGATCGGTACGCAACAAAACCGTTGTTGCCCATAATAACATTCAATATGGGGTAATTTCAAATAAAATTAGATAACTGTATGTCATATTTATATATTTGAACTTAAGTTTAAAATTTAGCTACTCTTTGAAAAATAACCCTGTAATTATACAGTGTATCAAGATACAATGAAAGTTATTTTATCAAACGTGCTTTCACATTGAATCGATTCTGTTTATCGCGGATTAATCAAAAGCGTTAATTGCATTTATCCGACGCGTGCACGCCACTAAAATACCAGCGATCGAACTTGGCCACAAAGTTGTATATTTAAAATATTACAGAGGAAGGAGGAAGGGTGTGTCCTTCGATTATCTAAATTGAAAGACATGCCTTCGATACCGCTCGATTATACTATCTATGACAGAATTAAGTTTATTACTAGCATTTGCAAATGCGAATTTATAGGTATAGGTATATATGTTGGCATTTGTTTTATATGTGTGATAATATTTATATTGTTATATTTCGATTATTTATTTTTATTTCTACTTGAGAAAGCGTATATTTTGATATCTATTTTATTTTCACACATAGCTATGTTTTCACCCATTTGTTGTCGTCATAGCACGCATTCAAACCAAATAGCTTAGTTGGTCGTTTATCATGCATACAGCTTTTAAGTGGAATAATTTACTTGTATCTGTCTTTCCATCCGATTACAATATGAATGTCTTGAAGCCAAAAGTGAATAGGCTTTGCTTATGCTCAGTCAGTATACTTAAACATCTTTGGTTACATCACTACATAACATCATGTGACACTGAAGCCAAGCACTGGCTTGTATTGCATTCATTAAATTATTAATTCATTTAATAATTGTTTTAAGTATCATTAATGAAATTAAAAAGATTACAAGAACACGATTATTAATGTTTTCGTTAATTGACCTAATGTTTTCTTTAAAGAAAATTACACTTTTTCTATGTATACATAGGCTACACTAAAAGTTTTGGAATATTTCCACTGTTCCTGTCATATTAAAATCTTTTTAATTGAAAACTACTTGGTTTTAAAAATCGAATACCATTTATTTATTTAAAAAAAGACTCTCGGTCTTGTCACAAGGTTTTGTCAAACTTGTTTAGTCGTTGAAAAAATGGAATTGACTCGAGAAAATTCAAGAGCGATGATTTATTATGACTTTCGAAGTGGTTTAACACAAAAACAGTGTGTTGACCGGATGATTTCTGCATTTGGTGATGAAGCCCCATCCAAAACCACAATTTATCGCTTGTTTGCTGAATTTCAACGTGGACGTGTCAAGCTCAGTGATGATCCCCGTCAAGGTCGTCCAAAAACTGCAGTCACCCAAGAAAACGTTGATGCTGTGCGTAAGCTGATTGAGGAAGATCGACATGTGACATACCGCGAAATTCAGGCAACTTTAGAAATTGGCATGAGTCAAATACAAATAATCTTGCATGAACAATTAGGTGTAAAAAAGTTGTTTTCCCGATGGATACCGCATTCGCTCTGTGAAGAGCAAAAAGCGGCTCGTGTTACTTGGTGCGTCAGAACTCTCGAAAGATTCCACGCAGGATCTTCAAATGCTGTATACAACATCGTATCAGGTGACGAATCCTGGATATACGCGTACGAACCCGAAACAAAAAACCAGTCACGAGTTTGGGTGTTCGAAAATGAGTTAAAGCCAACAAAAATTGTTCGTTCACGGAGTGTTGCAAAAAAAATGGTGGCCACGTTTGTCTCCAAAACCGGCCATGTTACGACTATTCCTCTTGAGGGACAAAGAACGGTTAATGCAGAATGGTATGCTAGCATTTGTTTGCCACAGGTCGTTTCTGAACTCCGTAAAGAGAACTGCAACCGCCGCATCATCCTCCATCACGACAATGCGAGTTCTCACACCGCACACAGAACAAAAGAGTTTTTAGAGCAAAAAAACATAGAATTATTAGACCACCCGCCGTACAGCCCCGACCTAAGCCCTAATGATTTCTATACTTTCCCTAAAATAAAGAATAAATTGCGTGGACAGAGATTTTCATCACCTGAAGAAGCTGTGGACGCCTACAAAACGGCCATTTTGGAGACCCCCAACTTCCGAATGGAATGGTTGCTGCAATGATTGGTTCCATCGTATGGAAAAATGTGTCAAATTTCGCGGAGAATACTTCGAAAAGCAATAAATACATTTTTAAATAGTAATGTTGTGTCATTTCCTTGATTCCCGAAATTTTCAGTTCCGCCCTCGTATTTATATATAATAGCTTAAATATTTCTGAAGGTAAAAGATGTAAGAATAATAATGTGGATAACTTAAATTAAAATTTTTAAAAACCCCCGAAACCAAAATAAATGAGATGATTATCTTCAAACGGCTGAACAGATTTTTTTAAACATAGATAAGTGCGCTTTCGATTAAGACACCTTTCAAACGAAAAATTTTATCAGAATCGATTCATCCGTTCAGGAGCTATGATGTCACAGACAGACACGCAAATATACACTAAAAACTTTCAACACTCCTCTGTTTTCGTTGGGATTAAAAAATACCACCGTTGGCCCTGAAATTAAAAAAAATTACATACTTTTGTATAAAGATTAACTTGAGTACAAAGTTTGTATATACATACATATATGCAAGCACGTCGATTAAAATAATAATGGGACGGTTGAGTTATGTAATTGTATATAAATCTACACAATTCCGTTGTTGATGTTGCTTGTACAAAGATTACTATCTTCTCGTCACCATCAGTCAAGATAAATCCACTTATTATAATACGAAAACCTGTGTTAAAATTGTTTTAATTGTGTCGCGTCTCCATTATTTAACGTTTTATTTTTGGCTACAGGGCGAACGCACCGACAGCACGGGCGATGTATCAGATATTACGAGGGAATCGTGGGAGGTAAGTTTTATCATATAATATTATAAAATATATTATGAAATGTTTTAATTACTGTACTCAACACTTTTTGTGACTAATAACGCTTTATCTAACATTATATTGACGACAATGAATTTGTTGCACATTCCATATTACAGTACACATGAAAACAACATAAAAATTAAGTACAAGTTATTTATAACACCTTATGTCATTGTTACTTAATCTTAAAGGTAATTAACCCATACTACAATTCTCATTTACTTGAATCGAACACAACGAAGCTATAAATTACTTCAAAGTTCTACGATAGTTAACAAAAATCGTTCGGTTAAGCTTCGGCTCTCGGCACTCCTTAAAACTGAAGATTATAATTGACTTATGCAAACACGACTTAATTTTATTGATAAGTAAAGAACGCAAAGTATTTACATATTGTTATAGATTATTTTACCTTGTCGTATCTGTGGGGGTTATGATAATTTATAGCATGTGTCACGAACAATACAGATTGATTTAGAAATAAGTAACACACAGGACTCCACAAAACATACAAATAACCTTGAGGTGCTCACAACGGAAACAATAAATTCCACGGAGTATGTACTAATTATTTATGCGATTGCGCGTAGCTGCTGAAGGCGCCGTACGTGAAAATATATTCCATAATGAAGAGCCAGGCCGAAGCATTGGGCGACACTCTCGGGGAAGAGCCGCGCCCCGAGGTACCACGCGTCCCACCGTGAACGCATTTGCGTGCATGCGTACACGCACACTTGCGAACAGAACTTGAAGATTTAAAAATAATTTTATCACAATTATGTACTTTTCTGTTTGATTATTAAATATTGTTATGCTTCAATTATTGTTTATTGACTCCAAGTTCTGTTTGCCGTATTATCGTTTTATGTAGCGCGTAAATCGCACTCTAGTGAGATGAAAATGCACTATTTGTACAACTCTTCTATTCCAGCGAATTATCAATAATGGCTAAGTATGTTAGTATTTTAGAAAGCTATCTGAGTGTTCATTAGCAAGTATTTAATTCTATGCTATACGTTAAATAGCAATATTTTCAAACAGCTTAGGGAGTACTTTAAGTGTGTTGATAAGATTTGCTAATATCTTATATCCGTTTTAAAATTATAAAATATTGCCCACAGATAATACACAAATTGTGTGGCAATAAAATTTATATTATATTTATTCGATTGGCACTAAAGATTTTTGGTAACATGTAGGTATAATTGAAATGCAATTTACTGTTTATATGTAGATAGCTTAGGTTTTTTTTTTGTCTAAAGATAATATTAAGTATGTCGTTAGACGATATTGCCTTGCAAACACAATGGTGTGTGAACAATGGGCCGTGCGGCCGGCTGCAAATACCTTGTCACAACTCTTGTTAGCGGAATATATGATACTTGCGTGACGTAGTAATTTTTAACTAATGGGACTGCTTAATGCGGATACTTAAAAAAATTTTCAGGTTAAATAATTAAAAAAAATACTTAGAGATGTTCGTGGTTCAAATGGTTTTTAAGAGAAGGAATATAATGAAATTGTCTATAAGATTATTTAATAATCTCAACAAATGAATGATAGGTAATGTTACTAAAATAAAGAACATAATTTGAAATGCCATAAGTGATATTGTCCGTTGTCTCTCTCTAAAAAAGCTTGAAAAAAAAACGCTTAACCTTCGCTTAGAATTCTAAAACTACTTAATGAATTTTGAAGCAGGTTTCAGTTTCACCATCATGAAGAATTTAAGGATTTTCCTGTAATATTTATGTATATTTAATTAATGATAATAGAGAAATGTTGGAATTTCGTCGTGAAGTCGTATAAAGACACTAATAAATCGTACTCTTTCAAGCCGAGGTGATCACTAGTGCCTTATAAAACAAGATATATAAGCACTAATTTAAACATACGAATAATTACTCATAAAAATAAATTAATTCAGATGGACTATTAAAGATCTCGAGAATTTTTTTTGCGAACGTAAGGATTCCCATTCTGTTTTGTTTTTTAAATTATTTGCTCGTGTGAACTCCTGTAGCAACAGTACTTAATTAAAGTTTAAGAATAAATTTGTTATTTATTTTAATTTGCGTAACTCGAAAATTTTATGAATCATTTTTTGCTAATTAATACACATTTTTCATTTAGTTTTTATTTAGATTTTTATCTATGAAATTACCATTTTATGTAGAATACTTTAACAAACATTTATAATGAATAGGACCGTCGAAATATACTCGTAATTTTCCTTCGCATTGCGCACATAATTTAATTGTGTAGTTCCGGGTGTACAAAAATATTTAAGTTGATAGGATTACATGTTTTAAAAACGTCATAACGGTAAAAATACTTATCCTTCGCGCATAGTATTTAATCAATTAAAGTATCGGCCATTATTATCGTTGATCTTTGGCATTAGATATAATAATGTTGCGCGCCACTATTAATGTCTTGTACATGGCAACACTAGTTACCACTAGCGCCCTCTAGTATCGAGTAGCAGAACTAAGAGAGTCAAGATCCTTCTAGAAATTTCGGGACCGATATGTACTCGAACATTCTAGATTCTTCTACAGTAGAAGGTTCTGGAAACTATCTGACACCCTATATAAGTCCGGTATAGACCACGACCGAGTCATTATTGAATTGGCGATATAAGCAAATACTTCGAAGCGGTACAACTGCGAACTAGTGATCAGTAATACAATTGTGTTTTATTATTAGTGTGGTTTTAAATTTTAATTAGTGTTCTGTAATTAAAGTGTCAATTTTGGTAATTCAATCGGCAGTTTTTAATTGTCTCGAACCCCAAGCTCGTAACAATAATATGCGTTTTATATTACCTCATCGAAGTTAACTTTATTCCTCTGAAAAAGTTATTTAATCTCTTAAAAATGTCGATTCATATAAAAGCAAGGTTTTGCCAATACGGTGTACCTATACCGGAGTCCGTTGTACAAAGTAGTGCACTAGAGATAATGACAAGTCAGGCTTTAGGATAGTGAGTCTGTCTATGATCATTTCCACTGGGTGACAATATAACTATAGTAGCTAATTATTACATCAGATCACAAGAAATTGTAATAATGTTGTCACAGATCTACCATTATATTCTCAAGTTGTTTCTTTTTAACTTGATTTGTTTTTAGCCGGTATTAGAAAACTGCAATTTCATAGTCTGTGCTGCATTATCAAACACTATCGTCCAATCGTTTAAACGTCACTTAGCGATAAGCAGTTATAAAGTCTTAACTGTAAACATAAGAAAATGCTAAGACTGTATTGTCCTACCGATTTTTCAACATATTGCAACTCGTCAGTGAAAGTGCCAGTTATTAATCGAACAAAGATAATACTTTATCTGAATATAATTAGAACACGCATAATTCGTTCGGTTTAATCTTTTTGTTTTGTGGTCGGGAGCTTTGAAGAAAATACAAATTTACAAAGAAAGAAATACAGATAGGAATTTGATTTATATGAACATTACTTGAATAATTATTTCTAAAAATTCCTTATTTTTGACAACGGAGTCCTTAAAAGTTTGTTTCTCATAGACTATCAAACGCACTTGCTGCAAGATTTAACAAGGCAGAGATATATATTGCAATGCCAAAGTTAATATGTTTATTTCTTTAAAATTTTCTTTGAGATTTCTCTTTACAATTTAGGTTATAAATCGCTCGTACGGCTCTCTTTTGCAAAACAAATATAACTTCAATATCAGTCGCATTACCCCATAGCAAAATTCCATAAAACATTACGCTATGAAAGTAACTAAAAGACCTAGCTGTCTCAACATCTGTGAGACTTCTAATCTTTCTTACAGCATATGCCGCAGAACTAAGTCTGCTTGCTAATTTAAATATATGGGGATTAGATATATGAAAACATTTATTGCAATTTTGAACATTAAAATTATATTTGAATAAAAATTATGTATTAAGATGTCGAAATAAGGTACTGTATGAAGTGAATTTTGTATAGATGTGTTTAGCATTGAACCAATTTGTATGAGCGATTCTGCAACGAAATGTGACTGTAAACTGAAAATATTTTAGACATTAGATCTTGAGTTTTAAATGTCATTGCATTGTATTTTTTTTAACACGAAACATTTATCAATGTAACTCTTAAACATTTCCCCAGTCACAATTACTGTCAATAATTTCAAGTTAAAATCACCATAAAGTTCGTACGTGTCTGATTACTTCCGGTACAAAATGTCGGAGTAACGCAATTCTCCACTGCCTCTGAAAGGTAATTTTTCTGCTTCACACAATTTACTCGTCATATCCCATATAAAATGAATGGTGAGCTGAACACGACCTCAACAGGGCTTTGTGTAAGTTTTATACGCAGCATTGAAATGGACCTGACACTTGCTTACCGTTGACAGCAATTGCCTAATTAAGTCTCATTAACATCAGCTCGTACGGCTGGTACCTACCTGTATATTTTTATAACATTTGCTTGACGTGATCACCTATGTTCAAACAAAATGCGATAAATATATGCCTAGGCATTAATGATTTCTTTTGGGGGGGGGGGGGACATAAATAGAATATTAAACTTTTTTATTATTTGATTCTTGAAATTAATTTATTTTTTAAGTTATGAGTACACAGAAATATCTTAAATATACATACGCATAAATATTTTTACTAGCAAATAGGGTTCCTTATTATGCCAGGCGCCCATTTGGCACTTATGCTTCTTTCTGTCGCTAAGCAGTAGGTAGTGAATCTACTGAGATTACTAGAGGTTTTCAGTATTAATTAGAGGTAGTAAGAAGTACATCGATATATATGTACTACGTACTAGATTGCGCATTCCGAACATACACTATGTTCAACTGAACTGTACTGCAATCCGTACAGTGTGTCATTTAGTGTGGTTTCAATCTACTAATTAGTCTGTGGTTTCAATATTCATGCAGTGTGGGCGGCGCTAATAATACAAGATTTCAAATTAAAGTTTTAACCTGGATGTCA